ATGCAATATTATATCTATACTAGGTGTCCCGGCAAATGTTGTTTTGCCTTAAAATAAAAATAAAAATAGGGGTGGACTGCCCCTAACATTTAGGGGGATGAAAATAGATGTTGGCCGATTCTCAGACCTACTCAATACGCTCACAAAATTTAATGAGAATCGGTCAAGCCGTTTCGGAGGAGTATGGAAACGAAAACTGTGACACGAGAATTTTATATATAAGATAAAAAAGTAAATGTACAATTACATTGGTCAGTTAACAAATTATATTATATGTAAGTACAAAAAACGTGTATGTAACGTAGTGTGTGCATCGCCCATACGCAAAAAAGGCAGCACCTCAGTATATAGTTTGCTCGAGCAGCAAACCACAGATATTTTAATATCTAAATTTTCACTCTCTAAATAAATAAATAAATTCTAATATCTAAATTCGCAATCTCACTGGATGTTAAGTGATGATGTGGTCTAATAGTGGCTATTCACTCTTGACTTGATAAACTCAATGTTGTAAGAAGCAGGAAACACTGACACTGGGACAGAGTTCCACTCTTTAAGTATTACCCAGACACAGAGAACGCATGAAGATGAAGTATAAACAACTTTGTTCAAATTCGTACCGGAAATATAACATTCAGCATTTTATACATAATTTCTTGGATATTTCTTTTTTTACGGACTACTCTAATGCTGGTGTCCGCAGCTGGCATTTATAGCTTCACCGGACGATAGAGGGCGTGTGCAGATGGCATCTGCGGAAAGACTTATGGAGCGGTTGAAAGCCATCTCCCGCCTGACGGATACGACTTTAGTCTGAAGGCCCCGCTAGGGGTTCGAACCTCGGCTCAGGCCGTCGTAATTTCGATCCCCGTTTGAATTGGACGGGGGATTATCGAAGGGGAGGAGATACACATACCGCGTACACTTAGATTGTGGAATGAACTGCCTGCCGAGGTTTTCTCGAGAGACTACAGCATGGGGTTTTTCAAGAAGGGTATATTAAGGTTTCTTAAGGGTCGGCAACGTGTATGTGACACCCCTGGTGTTTCAGGCGTCCATAGGCTACGGTAACCGTTTACCATCAGATGGGCCGTATGCTTGTTTGCCACCTAAGTGGTAAAAAAAAAATATTGGATACATTTACTACTGTTCTATGAATTTAAGCTTTTATACAGATTTTTTTTTCTATAAAAACTTAAATATTTTTATTCTATATTTAATTAATTTCAAACTAAGAATAGTTTAAAACAATTTTCAATGATACCTAAACAAGTTCTTTAACAAAAGGTTTTGACCCTCGAACATAATTTATTGCTATAATATATGTAGATCATATATATACACGTGTAAGTTCTATTTTTACCTAATCACTTCTCGATATGTATACATATATACACGAAAAATATGTTTGTACCTACAAAAAAACGAGAAATATTTTCCTACGCCTGCGCTAACGGTTTACGCTGGTGGGTACAAACAGAGGATGATAAGATGAACATGAGGTCAGGTCAGTTAGTCAGATAGTCCAAACTCGCCCGTAATTTATTACGATGGTTTTCAGGGGAAACCGTATGGAGGTCAACCTGATATGGTACATTGCTAACAATGGGGTTGTTAGTTCAAATTACTAACAAACCTCTTTACCCTAAATAAGAGGTCTTGATTATAATGGAATAGTGCACCCGCCTGCGCCAAAGGTTTACGCTTCCGGAGCACCAGTGGGAGGTGATAAGATGAACATGAGGTCAGGTCAGTTAGCACATCGTGGCAAAATCACCACTAATTTGTCAGGATAGTTTCCAGGGGAAAGGGTAGAATGTAAGGGGTATTGTCGATTATTTATCAAGGTATATATTTGTTCAAAGTCGCTGAATGTTGAAACCTTCAAGAAAAGGGCTTATATCTTCTTTTTAAGGACCCAGAGCTGGAGATCCGGCAACGCACCTTATGTTAATCTTATGGGGTTAGTTCTCAGCATGGGGTTTCTCAAGAGCATATTAGGGTTTCTTAAGGGTCGGCAGTGCGCACGTGACACTCCTGGTGTTTCAGGCGTCCATAGGCTACAGTAACTGTTTGTCATCAGATGGGACTTGGATACAGTTAATGCCAGTTATTTGAAAAGAATACGAGCTGAATTTCCTGTCAGTTCTTCTCATTTCGAAAGCATTCCAAACTGATGGTAGATATGACAAATCATACGAGTCTGTAATATGTAGATAAAACATAAAAATCACTATAGTATAAAATTCTTGTAGAGTCAGTTATGCTGTCACACAGACAGAGGTACCAAGTCCATATTAGTTTTTTTTTATTAAGGTATTTAGGCTATTACTCTGTCCTTTAGACCTATAGCACTGCGACCTACAGAGATCTATTGTGCTCGCCCTTTTTTAGAATTCGCTACTTAGATGCGTCAGTGACAAGAATTGAAGGATATTCTTAGGAGCGATGGTTTTAATATCCTCAGGATAGACTGTATAGGTTCCAAAGGAGATATTTCGTTTATGCATAAGTGAGCTACAACCATAGGATGTGTAGTGGCAATTCCTCTTCCATTTGGAAAAATCTGCAAATCGTTGTTTAGGCCTAAGTTTGCCATTTAATTTGCTGTGACCACTGCGGGCCCTAGTCATGATGCATATTGTTTTTTAGGACAAGCCTAAGTTTTCCAAGTGTATATTTAATATGCAGTGACTACTGCATGTCCTAGTCGTGATGCATATATTCTTTTTACACAATTGCATCAGTCAATTGGAGTATTACGAACCCGTTATTAGAGATTTTGAAGATACTACTCCTGGCATTTTCAGTATTACAAGTACACTACTGCGTTTCCTATTCCATTTTTAATAACTTGACTCTGAAAATCAGAATCGAACCCGCTTAAGTCCAAGACGAAACATTAAACCTCATGAACTGTACAAAACAGCATGTCGACCATACAAAATTCTTTGTCATCAATGAAACAATGACTCTGGTTTGTTCAGTTGAAATGATAGTCATTTATCATTTATATTAAAATGTTTGTATAATAATAGTACATAGTATAAAAATTCGGTTACAAACTTTGAGTGTACAGTTGGTTTTTACTTTGGACTTGAACGGGCCCATTGGGATCCAGGGATACAACATGTATAACGCTGTAATCATCCATTTGTTCGCTCTTAGCGTAAGTTAATACTATTTTTTTTCTAATAATCATAATCTCAGGACAATTCACACAGCGCCATCTACACCCAAGTTAAGCTAGCTAAAGCTTGTGTTACGGGTACTAGATACATACATAGATATTTATTTTTCGTAAATACATACATATTATACATAGAAAATACCCCGGTCGATACAAACAATCATACTCATGAATACAAATGTTTGTGCCGGGCGAGGAATCGAACCCGCGATCTTCGGAAATAAAGCGGTGTGCTAAACCGCCAGACCAACGAGGCCGTCAGACTATTAATATATCCATTTATAATATAATAGAATAGAATACTTAATAAAAACATTCGACTCTTACTTGGATTTTGACAAGGATGTCTACGTGCACTGCCTCTCAAGCAGTTTATTTATAAAGAGTAAGTAAAGAAGAAAAATATATATTTTTTCGGACTACTCTAATGCTGTTGGCCGCAGCTGACCTTTACAGCTTCACCGGACGTTAGGGGGCGAGTGCAGATGGCACTCCAAACCCGCGGAAGGACTTATGGAGCGGCTGAAGGCCAACTCCTACCTGACGGACACGACTTTAGTCTGAAAGCACCACTAGGGGTTCGAACCTCGGCTCAGGCCGTCGTAATATCGATCCCCGTTTGAATTGGACGGGGGATCGATCGGAGGGGGTAAGAAAAAAGAAATTCAGTTGAATTTCTTAATCTTCTTCTCAATTAAATCTATACTGAATTGTATAGTGTACCAAAATAATTTTTTTTTCAATTTTTGTCTGCCTGTTTTTTCGGGCTAATCTCTGAAATGGCTGAACCGATTTTGACGGGAATTTTCTTGGCAGGTAGCTGATGTAATAAGGCGTAACTTGGGCAACTTTTATTTTAGAAAAATAAAGAAATTCCTCGCTGACTAAGTCGCATAAACAGCTAGTACTAAATATTAAAATAGTTGTTTACAATTATAAGACAAACAAACTTACGGTAATGTGATGGTAAGAGACGACGAACACTCCGGATATGGCTACATACATAGTAAACCGAATGGTAAACTCTCAAATCTTTTCATTCCCGAGGACTAAGGCATCATTACACCTTACCTTACAATTTCACTGCCATCTCTTACCATTCAAACATAAAAACAATTAAGAATTAATCGGAATTGCAAACCAGCTGACTAAACCATTTATGCTAAATTTTTTTTATACTACAATGGTGCAAACAAGCATACGGCCAATCTGATGGCAAATGGTTACCGTAGCCTATGGACGCCTGAAACACCAGGGGTGTCATGTAAACGTTGCCGACCCTTAAGAAATCTTAATATACTTTCTTGAAAAACCCCATGAAAGTCTCTCGAGAAAACCTCGGCTGGGAGTTCATTCCACAATGTAAATGTACGCGGGAGGAAGCTCCTCTGAAACCGCACTGTCCGAGACCACGTCGCCTATATACACGAATAGCATCACAGATATCACGTCATGATGTAACATCTGTAATACTACGCCAGGGTTGTCATTTTACAGGAGTAAGGCATCATGTCTGCGCACCCTAGAATTTCACTGCTATGCCCTCTATCTCTCTTATCCTTCTAACAGATAGAATTTCCCTGCCATATCCTCTCTCTCTCTCATCTTTTTAACATATTCTGCATATCAAGCTGAGTGCTTCAAATTCTCTGGTTGAAGATTATCTACTGTCATAATTACTGATTCCGACCTTTCTTAACTCCTCCCTCAGACAGCAGTGGAGTCAAGAGTGGAATCATGATAAATTCGTTTTGTAAAATTGCATAAAGTGTCTTTACAGACTTTAATGTTAAATTCTTTTTTCTTCTAGGTCCTCGCTGCTGGAACAACTGGTGCAGGTAATAAAAAAAACTACATTAAAGCAACTCCCCTCCCCCCCTTCTGAGTTGAACTCTAATATACTTGTCAAAACGTGGGTAGATATATAATTTTCATTTTATGTTAATCTTAGACACCTATACAAAAAAAACATAGTAAATAAACTAGCTTTAAAAAAATCAATTGAGTTTCTTGCCAGTTCTTTTCAATTGACTCTGTAATATCAGTTCCCCTCCCGTCCAGTGTCAGATCAATAGATCTGAAACTGGACGGGAGGGGAACAAATATAAAATTATAATACAATAAATTTGTGGACGGCTCGTTTTAGGAAAAGAAAATACTAATAGAAAAGCTGAATAGAAAAAATATGTTTATTGCAAAAATTTCTAAATATCTAACTGACAAAAAAACCACAATCTCTCTTTTTAAAATATTGACATAAAAAAGAATTGTACATAAAACCTCAACAAAATTACTTTTGAATTTAAATTTGAATGGAATGCATATTTTTATGTAAAGTTACAAATTTGTTCCTGTAAGTCACAGATGAAAACTTTAAAATAACGGTTATTATATTATTCCCAGTGAACCAGTTACAAAATAGTTGGCAGAATCAACGCAGTTCCCAGTTACAAGTCAGCAACAGCCACCAGCAAGGTATTTTTTAAACATATTTACCTACTAACTAGCTAGCCTATGTGTCAATCTGATGTTTAAGCTATATTACTGTAAAGTTTTATCAAAATCCATCCAGTAGTTTTTGCGTGAAAGAGCAACAAACATCCGTCCATCCATACACACTTACAAACTTCCGCGTTTATCTTATTAATATTATAAATGTGACAGTTTGTTAGTATGTTTAGATGTATGTTACTCTTCTGATTTTGATGAAACTTTACAGTAATATAGCTTATACATCAGACTAACAAATAGGCTAAAAATGTCAAGCGGACGAAGCTGTGGGTATAGCTAGTAATATTATAGTAAGATATCTTATTTTTAGGTACCTAATTGGATTAGCAAACAAACTGAAGGATCAGCTTGTTTGCCAATCATGATGGTAAACGGTAATAGTATATACATCTACAGCACCATATACATTTTAATGAGAGTTCCAGTTAATTGTTGCATTTCACAATAAATTATTTTTTGTATATGTGATCTTAAGATATGTTTCTGTAATCATGTTTTCTAAATTACTTTTCCTGAAGTTAACTTTTTAAAAAGTTACGTTTTTTACTCAGGGATTTGGGCTATTGTTAAGTGCTTTAGACTTGCGACCTATATAGATCTATTGTCCTCACCCTTTTTCAAAATTTGCTACGTAGACTCGTCAGGGACAAGAATTGAAGGATATTCTTATTAGCGATGACCTTAGGCGCAAGTCAAGTTCGCGTGATTGATGGTATTTTTTTTTCTAGCATGGAACAATAACTTGGCCAACAAAAGTTGGCAGAACCAACACAACTTCCAACTTCAAGCGAGTAACAGCAATCAGCAATGTAAGTAAAGATTACACTACACATATAACATCAACTTACACATATTTCATGCTACAAGCAACACAATAATTATAGACTTTAAATAATAGACGTGACATAAAAATCATACACTTACATGTCCACCGCTACCGTCAAGGAAGAGGACTACTGGCTGTAGGTGGTGGTGTATCGGCGCTACCGTGGCAGATTACCGTCGACAGTGCCGTGAGCACACAGACAATTTATATTTATTTTTTCTATTAATAGTAATATCATTCACATGTATGTTAGTCTGTAAGGTATTTATAATATGGGCCATTAGTAGCCTGAATGAAATAAATAAATAAAATATCGCTAAATGTAGATTTTGTTCTGTTAATAATAATTCTCATTTCAATTTCTTATTTAATCTGTTACTAAAAATAAATGTTATATTCTCACTTGCAGCGTGGAACAACAATTTACAAAACAAAAATTGGCAGAACCAGAGGAACTCCCAGCTCCAAATCAGTAATAGCAACCAACAAGGTATATATAGCAATATTAAATATTTTTTATATATCTGTACATATTATAAAACAAAGTCCCACATTACTTTCAAGATATTGTCAAAAACTACTGATTGTATGTTCACGATATTCTAAAAACTATGAATCTAATAATATAAAAAACCCAAGCGAGGAGTTGCTGTTAACGAAAATTCTCATGTCTACTTTTTATATAATGTACTTATATTTGAGAATAAAAGTCATCTTCTTACTTCGTCTTCCTCTCAATTTTAGCGTGGAACAATAATGCACAAAACAGAAATTGGCAGAACCAAAACAATTTCCAGCTACAAGCCAGTAACAGCAACCAACAAGGTACGTACATTACAATTATAAATACTATTACCCACCAGTTCGTCTGCTTTTTTTATCTTTTAGATAGTTAATGTTCGTCTTCGGAACTATCTTCTTATCAAATTTCCTTAGATATATAAGCTCAGTACAGATGTTTATAGTTAACAATAGATGGACTTACTTCCATATTTAAAATATTTGTATTGATGGATCACTATTATTATATAATTCTACTCGCGATTTCACCTGCATACCCACAATTTACCAAGATAATAAGTACCTTATTTACCGTCTATATTCCTTTATATTCTCCATTAAAAACATCCATTAAAAAGAGCAACACACAAGTTTCTTGCTTATTCTTCTTGTGATGAATCTGCATTCGGAATGAGTGGTAGAATCAAAATATGATTATTCAAAAGTGCTTGTAATGAGTTTATTTGAATAAAGATTATTTTTATTTTCTTTCATTAAATATTCAAAATTTTCTAGTGTAATATTAACTTGTAACATCGTAAATTAAGCTCTATGAACAAAGTGGTCAATGAAAATTCTCATTTCACATCTTATATGAACTAACATTAAAAAAACTCTATTCTCATTTCTTTTTGTTCACTTATTTGTGTGATTATGTTTTATAAGATAAAGCGTGGAACAATAATCTACAGAACAGAAGTTGGCAGAACCAACGTAACTCCCAGTTACAAGTCAGTAACAGCAACCAGCAAGGTATGTGAGAATATTCATTAAATAATATATTTATTAATTCACATTTTACTACACATTCAGCTAAAGCATCATCGTAATTCTTCCAACCATTTTAACGTAAATTTTAACACACAAACAGTTAAACATACAAGTCAAGATTTTACTTAGACTTTATTTTATATAGATGGCAAACAAGCATAAGGCCGATCTGATGGTAAACGGTTACCGTAGTCTGTGGACGCCTGAAACACTAGGGATGTCACGTGCGCGTTGCCGGCCTAATATTTATTCATTTAAAATTAAAGAGCTACTCTGTTGTCAGTTCTATGATCTTCCGTCACTCTCTTTATATGTTGATACGACACTATTCCAACATTATTCTTAATCTGCTTGATATATCTTTTGATCTCGTCTTGCTTCTTTTTTCCCTTAAATGATAATGTTCATAAATTCATCGCACAGCATCATGTGTCCTAATCATCATCATCTGCTTCTTCCTTATCCCATTTATTTTGGGTCGGCGTAATATGTTTTTCTCTTTGTGTGTGTGTGTGTGTGTGTGTGTCAATCAAGTGTCCTAATATAATTAAAAAAATAATTATGTATAAATCTGTAGATATCATAAAGAAAAATCGCTGTCTTTGTCTGTCGTTTCCTTTGCATATTTCTTTTAGACTACCCAACGAATTTTTATACAACTCTCACTGTGTTCGAGAATTTTTTACGGATAACAACGATTCCACGATTTTCATCAAGAAATTATAAGAGTATAAAACATTATATCTTTGTCCTGAATAATGGTAACGTGTGAGTGATATTATAGTATTGATATTGTGGTGTAGTTCATGTATATAGGTTGCCATCTCCCATTAGGTGGGATCTTAGATTTTTTGCTATTCCTGTTCCTGTACAAATAGTTTTTTCTTTTCTAGCATGGAACAATAACGCAATAAATCGTAACTGGCAAAACCAACGTAGCGCTCAGTTCCAAGCAAGCAACAGCAACCAACAAGGTAACATTATTATTATAATGTTATAGTGGTTAAAACATTTTATTTTAATCAACTAGTATATGGTAAACGCACTGAAACTATTATAATTAATTGGTAAATTCACAATTGGCAAAGATTAGTTTCGTTATTCGCATAATAATTTAATAGCAAGCAATAATTTCGGAATTTGAGATTTTTATTATTTTAGATAAGCGTTATCTTAATAGATAGAGTGATTCAAGAGGAAAGTTTATATGTATAAAACATATACACCAGAACGAAGCAGGGGCGTGTAGCTAGTACACAATACGATTAAATCAGTCGTAGTGATTAGAGCAAGTCGAAACGTATGAACCTATTAAAAATGTAATTTATTGAAGTATAGTAAACCAATAAATTAAATATAAATGTATGTGCACTATTAAGTATATGTATGTGTATGTATATATGTATTAATGTGTGTATATGTTTATATTTATGTATATTTGAGTCATATATATTTATTTTTGTTTATTACGTGCGCCACCTACCCTGTTCTTATTTTTATTTCTCTATCCACCTAAAGGTAGTCTGGAAGAGATTGCTTAGCGATAAGACCGCCTTTTGTATCAGTGTATATTTTCCATTTTAATTGTTTTTTTGTTTTTGTTCTGTAATTGGTGGAATAAAGAGTATAAATAAAAAAATAAATAAATGAAATAAATTATTTCTAGTGTGGAACAACAGACTGCGAAATAGAAATTGGCAGAATCAATACAATTCCCAGGTTCAAGCCAATGCTATCAACCAGCAAGGTGAGTGGTTCGTTAAATAATGTATTTTTTTATTTACTGCATTGTGATGTGGCGTTCGTTATTTTTTAATTCTAATATTATATACTAGCTGTGTCCGCGATTTCATCCGTGAAATTTATAGCATATATATGTCATTCTGATGTATAAGTTATGTTATTGAAAAGATTCATCAAAATCCGTTTAGTAGTTTTTGCGTGAAAGAGTAATATACATACTCACGCACTTTTGCGTTTATAATATTATTAAGATTAAGATAGTTATACCATATAAATAAAAATTAAAAAAATTGTAATGTGTTGAATTGAAATTTTCTCTTTTTATTTTATTTTCTCTGTTTATTTCATTTAATTTTTATATAGTTTTTTATGAAACCAATCTAAAAAATCATAATTAGTCTGATATGTAAAACTCACTGATCAGTAATAGTAAATAATTATTTGGTAATTCTTTTGTGGACTCCCGCGATACAGGTTCGCCTAGTGCGGGGTCCAATGTATAATAAATTTTGTAATATTTGTACGTTTAAAAAAAAAATAAAAAAAAATGATTTTAATAAATAAATATGTATGAATGAATGGAAAACTCTTTATTGTTCCTCTCACAGAAAGAAATTAACAATTACATAAATTAATATGTACACCAAATATAAGAAAAAAAAACAACAATTACTATATAGAGGTAACAATGGGCGGCCTCATCGGTAAATAGCGATTTCTTCCAGCTTCCTTCTTATAGCGATTGTATGTTAGTCTACAACGTATTTATAATATTAAATAAATAATATTAATATAAAATTATCGAAACTAATTCATGTATTATAATTTTAGCCGTGAACAATGCTGTGCGTAATGTCAATTGGCAAAATATACAGAATCAAAACCAAGCCAGCATCATCAACAATCAAGGTAAGTTAGATGTCAAGGTAACTTTTAACCACTCACAACTATGTTAGGGAATTACGTTCCAGCAATGGTATTTCCGAACCGATACGATATTGAAGCCTTCAAGAAAAGAGTAAGGGCCGGCAATGTACTTGCAATTACCCTGGTGTTGCGGTTGCCCATGACCGGTAATCACTTACCATCAGGTGAACCGCAAGCTCATTTGCCTCCTATAATAATATGGTATAAAAAAGTAACAGTTTTTAAATTCACTGGCTGTGTCATTTAACAATCCATATTAATATTATAAATTTAAAAATGTGTCCGTCTGCCTGTATGTACGGCTGAAAGAATTATAAAATTGGTGTAAGCACTGACTATATTACGAAAACTAGACTGTATTTCTAAAACAAACGAAGTTGCGGGTAATAATAATTGATAGTAAATAACAGTATATAGATTGCAATAGATACAAGGCTTTAAAGACATTATCAAATTGAAATGCATTTTTATGTATTTTTAATGGTAAAGAAGCTAAATTAAGCAGTAACGGTCGCTAATATATCTATACATGAATATTCAGATAATAAAAAAATCATACTATCAGAGGTAGAAGCAGGTCATCTACCACTTGGTGAAACAATATTAAGGAGCAGACGGACCAAGACAACCTTACTACTCTGACAATACACAACAGAGTTGTCTGGCGCAGATGTACAGGGAGACCCGATCCCAGATAAACTGGGAACATGAGTAGGACAGAGAGAAACACAAAATCTAAATAAATATTTTATTTCATGTAATTAATTAGAGTGACAAACAATCTTAACCCACCTAATGATAAGAGTATATAATGGTGGTCCATATGAGCTGCGGTATGGATAACACGTTATCATTTATCGCTCGTGATACCACTCATGCGCTCCCATTACAAATAATTAGGATCTCATGCCTTTTGTACTGTAATTCAACTGCCTAATATCATCATAAATCAGAGACAACTTATAAAGCAGGTTGCTTGGCGTCTCAAATAGGTGAGATTGTAACACCCAAGTAACATTTTACAAATTCTACCTCAGTAGAAATAGTTTGTTATTTTGATAGTAATTAAATACATAATGTTTTATAGCAAACCTACAAAACATCGAATTGCTGAACGCACAACGGGCCCAAAACCAAGCGAATATTATCAACCGACCAGGTATGTTATTTCTTTATCTTTATGATCAAACTAGCTGATTCTAGTAGGCTATGTAACATTAAAGTTCAATTCATGTTATAATACAATCAGAAAATTTACGACGGCGTGAATCGAGGTTCTGTAGTTATATCCGTCAACAGGGGCGGGTCGGGAATTTGTGGGGCACTGGGCTAAATCTACTTAGGGGCCTAATCATATTATTCAATTAAAAAAATACACCGACCAAAAACAAGGGACCAGAAATTCTTCGTTATTTTCGATAGATGCACACTGGTATGGGTTGATTGATCTCAGGGTTGCCAACTTTATGATATAATGTTAAAAATATTCTAAATATTTTTTTATATTTTAAATATCGTTTCAATGGAGACTGAGGGCCCTTTATATCCTCGGAGCCCCGGGCTGCAGCCCAAAAAGCCCTTAGGTAGATCCGCCCCTGTTCGTCAAGCAGGAATTGGCCTTCAGATGCTCCATAAGTCCTGCCTCAAGTTTAGAATGCCTACTGTTCTGTCCATATTGTTCGATGAATCTTCAAAAGTCAGCTGCAGCCAACGCCATTAGAATAGTTCGAAAAAAAATTATTAAAACCGTACTTTAGAAATAGAAAAGAAAATAAGGAATATTTTGATACGAATAAAGATTTTATCTATCTATCTATTGTTTTTTTACAGAAATTGTCAATGTTAACCGACCCGTATTGGAAACTGTTGGAATTAATCGACCTGTCCCAGTATTGAACCCTATCAGACCCGCCAATGTTGTTGGTAAGTGCACCAAAGATATACTGTACAAACTACGGCTACCTCATTCTCACACTATTACAGCCGCCAAGCTTGCTTTACAAGTTGTGTTTCAGTTGTTTGGCATGAGATATTAGCTCTTTAGAATGTCAACGCGTGAGTTGTATAGCAATTTTGTGCTACCCTCCTTAGTCCCCTGTGTCACCTTTCTCGAGGGGACTTCTTTGTCCAGGGGACATCTTTGTCCAAGGGACATCTTTGTCCAGGGGACATCTTTGTCCAAGGGACATCTTTGTCCAGGGGACATCTTTGTCCAAGGGACATCTTTGTCCAAGGGACATCTTTGTCCAAGGGACATCTTTGTCCAGGAGACTTCTTTATCCAGGGGACAACTTTATCGCCTGGATTGATAACGCATAAGTGGTGTCATGCATTATTAATCCAGGGGACAAAAATATCATGCCTCTACTTGGATCTACACCCATGTTTCGTAATCAGGTCACCGAATAGTCAACACTAGGCTTTTAAGTTGTATCTGAGATCTAATAGTTACCTGATGATGCTTGTTTTAAAGACAAAACACGTGTCGCAATATGTAGTAGATTCAATAACGCTCGGAATTTGATCACCAATAGAGATCGTAACGGTTCCAGTAACAGTGGTTAAGTTTGTACACTGAATATTTGTGGTCTCACACAATGTAATGGTAGCGAAATTAAACAAAATAATATCCGGAATAGACCTAAAAATAATTAATTTGCCTTGTCCTAATCTAATTCTTGAATATCTATTTTTACAGATGTTGTTAACCGACCTGCAGTCGAAGCAATTGAAATTAACAGGCCAGTTAGACCAACCAACGTTGTAGGTGAGTACACCATTGAATTTGTAGCATCATTGGATATCATTGTATCACTGTAGCGTGATATATGAAGAGGTGAAGATACTTCATTAGTTTTCTATACTATTTAGATAGTGAGTATATAATAGGTGTAGTAATTGTACTAAATTAGTAAGTTTATTAGGTAGTTTTTTTTTTCGGACTACTCTATACTGTTGGTCGCAGTTGTCCTTTACAGCTTTATCGGACGATAGGGGGCGAGTGCAAATGGCAGTCCAAACCAAAGGAAGGACTTATGGAGCGACTGAAAGTCAACACCAGCCTAACGATTACGACTTTAGTCTGAGGGACTGCTAGGAGTTCGAAGCTCGGTTCAGGCCGTCGTAATTTCGATCCCCAGTTTATTTGGACGAGGTATCGACCGGAGGGGTTATTCAATAGTGTGCTACAGGACTGATTAGTAACGCAAAGACTTCGCGCGAAGTCGTAATGTGGGCTGACTTTACACTGAACTTAAATCTAAGGTATGAGGAGAAATAAACAAAATGGAAGGGTGCCGAGTGTTGATATCATTTTCTATAATTTGATTACTTATTTTGTGTGTGAGTTTTTTTTTATATTGATAGTACGGTTAAATAATTTCGTGATTTTACAGACATCGTGGAAACTAATCGGCCTGTTAGACCTACTGCTAACGTCGTTGGTGAGTACAACCTTTATTTATCTACTAGCTGTGCCGGCAAACGTTAGGGTATGAAACATAGATAGTAACTGATTCTCTGACCTACTGAATATATATATAAAATTTCATAAGAAATCTGTCAAACCGTTTTGGAGGAGTATGGTAACTAACATTGTGAACGAGAATTTTATACATATTATAAAATTAAACAGAAATACAAAAGGCGGCCAATTGGCAGCAGCTGAATAGATAGGCTTTTGCATTTTGAAGTCGGTTAAAAATAAGACATATGTGTATTTGTTTTCAGATATTATTAACAACCGGCCGTCAGTGGAAGCTATTGAAATTAATAGACCAATTAGACCCACCAATGTTGTTGGTGAGTATACTATTGAATTTTATGAAGTTCACTCCAGATTAGACATCCCTCACACTTTAAACATTGTACATGGTTATACTTTACCAACTCCGTCTCTTATTACATTCTTGACCTGTGGCGGCGTGGTGGGCTGGGTCATTGGGCTCCCTAAAATATAGTTCAGCGCAGTGATGGTTGCCTTATACATAATACTTGTGAACGAGAGCTGCTTGTAGGGACTGGACTGCTCTAATCACTACGACTGATTTAATCTTATTGTGTATTTAATATTTTACCCCAATATATTATAACTTAAAAGTGTAAAGTTACAATGATTATTTAAAACAAAAATACGCAAGTTTCTAGTTCATTTTTCTTGTATTGAGGCAACTATCCGAATTAGCGGTAGAATAAAACAAGAGGAAAAGGAAGGTAGAAGAAAATATAACAATAAACTACTTTTATAAAGAGATGATGCAAAAAGAAGTTTTAAATCCGAAAAGAAGTTTTAAAAGCGCTGACTGCGTTCATAAAAAACTTGAGTACTTCTGTTATGCAAACTGTATTTGAAGGGTAAAGTATGACAGTGAAATTACAGGGTTAGGTTGACATTGTATTTCACCGAGATGATAACGAAACCACGGGCAACTGTGGCCATTCATATTTCGATTGTAGTCTTGTAGATTAATTGTACCAATTATTTTACAGATATTATCGAGACTAATCGACCATCAGTGGAAGCAATTGAAATTAACAGGCCTGTTAGACCCACTAATATTGTTGGTAAGTGTACCGTTGAACTTGATGAAGTTAATACTGCAGAAGATAAAAATCTTATCGGGGCTACGCTATTGATTACTGAAGGAGTAGACTTAAATAGAAATAGATATAAACTTTTAATTTCACAAAATTGTTTTAATTTGCTAACTATTTTTCTAGTTTAACAAAATTTTCATATTGATATTGACAACAGAATATCTATTTATGTAACTGCACCACATAACTGTAATATTTTTTGCATAATTTGGTTTAGTTAGTATTTCAAAGTATCCCTCAAGGTTCGATTATAGGTCCATTCCTCAATTAGTCTACATATTTCTTGTTAGATTGGTATGTAATGTATAAAAATCGTTTGTAATATTATTCCAACTTAGTCCATTTTCAAATAGTATCTGAGTTGATTACAATGTGTATATATTATTAACTAGCTATTGATTTTTTTTAGATATAGACATTAATCGGCCCGCATCGGAAATTGAAATCAGTGAAACAGTTGGACCGACAAATATTGGTAAGCACAACTAGTTTGATTTTATTGTTTTAGAACTACTTTATAAAATAAAAAAAATATCATTATAACATACATGTTATAAAATACGATTTGATTGATAAATTATATGTACCTATTCGGATTTTTCCAGACATTGATATCCAGCAGCCGGCATCAGAAACAATTGAAATTAGTGAAACTCTTAGGCCGAATATTTTGCCAGGTGGTAAGTGTCTTTAAACTTAATAAATCAAACCTTGATTACACATTACCTTAAACACTTACAACTTAGACAGCAAATCTATGAAAATAACGTCTGTCTTTTGAAACAAACGAATTGTGATTACTATAGAATTACTTGTATATTAACAGAGCAGAAAAAAAAATGAAGAGGTCTAAATGTTTTAACATTTGCACTGTTCGCATTTTCAGGTACTTATTTACGTCAGTACTTTGCACTTTCTTTTTGCTCGGCTCCTACATATTGTAACGTGATGTTACACAATATAGTCTAACATCCTCAAGTATTTTACTGCAAAATACAAGAAAATAAAGTTTAATTCGGTACTTTTAGAGATTAGTAAAGAAACCCTTCAGATTCTGTATTTACTAATATACGTGATTAATCATAAGTATTAAACTTAAAATAACTATCAATTTCTAGCAAGACCATGGAACAGATGGCGCCCTAGGCCTTCGTGGCCACTTCGACCAAGGCCAATAGAACCAATACGCCCAGCTGGTGTCGGATGGCCTTTAGGATCAACAGTTATTGATGAAAGAGTACCATCATTACTACAGCCAGTTCCAGAAGTTGAAACCATAGAAACAATAGTTGAACCAGCTGAAAATGTAGTCATTGTGAATAACGAGATAGGACGACCAGGTCCAATCGTATCTCCTACATGGCCAGTACCAGGTTAGCTACTCCTTTATTTGAATAAGTAATATTAGTCGATTTGTCAATGGTTTCTAGTGTCGTAGGGTCGAATTTTGTTCCATGAAATTCTACTGGTTTGATTTTAAATACATCTATAGAAAGCCAAGAGAAAAAATTATCAATTACACGAATTTTTTTAGTCTCATAGGCTCTTTATGGTTACGTCTCTTTGCTCACTATAACTTGTAATTTGAAAATGTTATATATTTATTTATATTAAAGTATCATTACTTACATAGCTAACATTACTATTAATTTTGCTTCTTCAATTATTTAAAGCGTTTCACAGGGTACATATCTTGGTCTCTACAATTTATTTTTATGAACGAATGATTATATATCTTATTATATCGTAAACAATAGAATATGGGAGAACATATATGTATTTACAGGTATTGATGTAATCACTTCGGAGACGATTGTAAATGATAACCCTTATCCATCTACGGAAGAAATAGTTGTAGGTAAGGATTTTTCTACATTAGTCGATGAAACAATTTCGATAAATGTAGTAGAAAAATTTGAAAATCACATACAACTGAATGGGTAAAATAACGATGTTGGTGATAAATATACATTGGCATACAATTATTTAATATTAATTGATGCAAACGTACGAGTATGTCTGACTCTGCTGATTTGAAAGTTTAAACGAATAATTTATAATAATTATATATTTAGGCTTAATTTTTTGCATATCTCCATAACTCTGAAGGTTCTTCTCTTGTAGATACCTCGGTGCCAGTGAACGTTCTTCCTATCCCAGGAGTGCCATCTGTTATTCCACCAGGTATAAATTATTTTATACTAATAACTAGTATTCATTCTGTATTATGTATGATCCGGGATATATAGTTTTTTTGTCTGGGTACCTCAGTCTCACCCATTTTAGCCTGCAAGCAGCTTGTTTAGAAGTGTATTGTGGTTGTAGGTAGAGATTAGGCAGTAAAATTATTTATATTAGTCCTCTGGAATGGCAACGCCTGACTAATGCTATGGACGGTATTTTATGACATGATGTCACATGATAACGTGATGTCCGTAGTTCATGTATATAGGCGATGGTTACCGATTACCACAAGGCAAACCGTCAGCTTGTTTGCGATTTGCCTTCAAATTGCATAAAAGAAATAAATTATAACTCACGATAAACTTTTAGAGTATTTCTAAAATAGGTAATTTTGAAGTAGATTTCAAAAATTTTGCCTTATATTCATTTGTTTAGCATATGCTTTGTCATAATGACGATAATTGTAGAGTATTAATGTAATTCATACAATTTGCAGCTTATGAAGTAATTACTGCCGAGACAGTCGTAAATGGAAGACCTATTATCAGTTCTGAAGAAATTATCATAGGTAAGTAATATGGTAGAAATAGATATATCTTTATTCAAATCAACTTAATTTAAGCACTTTTGAATAGTCATATTTCTTTTGAATTCGCAACTCAGACTCATCACAAGACGAATGACCAAGAAAATTGCGAGTCACTATAAAAAAATGTTGTTTTAATACGCATTAAGAAGAATTAGGCATGCGACAATCAATAGTTTTCTTTGTTTTGCAGATAGGCCTAGCCAGATCAACCCATGGCAGAGGTAATATATTATTTCTAATATTTATATTATTAATAAGTCATTCCGAGATCGTAATGTTGCGATACCCACAACATAGACACTGTTTAAGGAGACTTCTTTTAGAGGTAATAAACACATAATGCGCTGCAGTAAAGAGAAAGTCCAAAATATCTTAAAATTATATTGTTATATTGAATGTGTTAGTCTTAGGTAACACAAAATACATATTAGATTTAATTTTCACAGACCACAACCAAATTTGGGAGCTATAACTGCTGCGGAGAGCAGCATTGAACACATTGGTATGTTGAATATTGTAATAGACCTACAACTAAACTTAGTTTTTATATACATACTTGCGGACCCGGCAAAAGAAGGAAAGATCCAGGAATAGAAGCACCACCTATCAGATTCAAATGTGTTTTTAAACTATCCAGGAACTAATTAAAATCAAATGAAAAAATCAAATCGACAGAATGTCATCCAAATCGGTCCAACCGTTTAGGAGGAATACAAATAGAAATAGTCCTTATTCAAATAACCTTAATGTAAGCACTTTTGAATAGTTATATTTTTTATTGTACCACTCATTAGGAACGCAGACTCATCACAAGAAGCAAAATATTTGCGTGTTATTGTGTCATATTGTAGGAGTTAGGTAATAAACACACGTCCAGACGGATTATATATATTAGGATAAGACCAACCCTGAAGTATAACAAGCTGAAAGTTATTGTAATCTTCAGTATTAAGCTATACATAGTATAAATGAAGCCGCTTCTGCTGTAACGAACAGTGCTTGATCTTTTGAACTAAGCGCCAGATTTTAATGCTAGTTTTTGTAATAGATAGAGTAATTCAAGAGGTTTATATATGTCGATAGTTCAAGCCGTTTCGGAGGGTTATCATTACAAAGAGTGGAAATCTGATCTCTAAGATCGCTCGGCGGTTCGCTCCGCTCAATAAAGTTTTCAAATCGATCTAAAAGTCTCAGATTCTATTCAATGTAAACAAACAAATATACAATTTTTACCTCTCTATAGTATATTTATTTATTATTGTCGATTGTTTTTCAGTATACTCTGCATTCAAAGAACTGTTGGAGTTGTGGAATCAATGGGTTCAAGGCAATAGACAACCAAACTGGCCAGTGTTACCAGGTAAATAATCCTACTAATTTTGTGAGAACAGATGGATGTTTGTCTTTATTATAAAAATTACTTAGAAATCCATTACCATCCATAAATTTCATGACACATTTTATTCATTTTTGGTATGTGAATCAGGTAGTGTTCGACTAAAGTCTAGAGGTAGATCTAATTGATTTGCTACTTTAGTCTATATTGGCCGCCTGATAGTTTGTCACTATATTTGCCAATATGTGGTAATGTATGTGTGTTAAGCCTTTGTTGGTGTTTTATCGGGTGCGGATTCGATTCCTGCCACGTTTGTATTCATGAGTATTAACGTTTGCACTGGTCTGAGTGTTCTATGTATATTATGTTTACAATTGCAAAATGTTTTTAAGTATTTCATTAAGTTGTTCAGTACCTATATCAAACTGCTTAGCTTGGGACTTTTTGGCACTTATTTGTATTATTTCTTCTGCAGGAACTTCTTCAAGTGCCTCATCTAGCGCATCTTCGGTGTCAAGTTGGAACGGCAGACCCGGTAACGGCAACATCTGCATTTGCTACGACGAATCCAGAAACATTCCTTGGAATGTAAGAAGAGAAATTGGCGCGTAAATTCAAATCAAAGATGTCATCCCGGTCAAGAATTTTCTAGAAACATAACTTCATATGTTCTCTCTCTATCTTTCATCGAGTTATAATTTGAGGTCAACATCATTATGTTTCATTACTCCATTACAAACTAACCTGATTATTGTTCATTTTTTAACATTGTTGAATTAAATACTTTTTACTGTCATAAATCTATTTCTCTCGTTTTTACTTTTCTCCTTACAATAAACAATGACATCAAATGTGGTGTGTATGAGAGAGAACGTCTCGGTGACAGAGTCGACCTTTGCGAGGCATTGCATCTCTGTGTGGTATATTTTCTACCCCTTATACCATGGAGAATATTCTGAGGAATTGCTCGAATTATTACCAGTTAGTGAATTTCACCATTTCATTATCTACCAGAATCTAAAATACCATTCTGATCAATTGGATGAATAACGGTTCCCATGCTTTTTTGTTTTCAAATTTACGCCGTAATAATTTTATCAATGTAAATTTTGATTAATTATCGGCGTTTTCTCGAACTATTCTAATGCTGATGGCTGTAGTAGACCTTTGCAATTCGCCAAATGTAATTCGGCAAGTTCATTTGTCTGTGTGTATACCTCTGTCCCACCTATGTCACACTACATATTACGACACATATTTCGCCTCTAAACATGCATAACATCAGTCACCATATAATCATGTGACACCTGTAATAGCACAGAGCATCCGTAGAGGATTATAAGATGAGCTTGAGGTCTGGTCAGCCCATCGGCGAATTCACATGGAATTAACTGAGATGGTTTCCAAAGAGAACCGCGTGGAATTCGATCTAATAGGGTAACATATTGGGCATACTAACAAACCCTTTCCCTTTAAAGAAATAGACTTTTTAGCGGCTAAGATGGGGCCGCTATTATTTATGTTGTGTAATGTGTTCTATGTATTCTGGCAGCAGCAGGAAAGGAGGAGATAAAATGATGAGTCCAGGTTATGGCTATGTACATATTTATAATATAAAAGTATTTACAATTAGTGTATGTAGAAGAAGGCGATTCGGTCTCGAATTTGACAAGCTTGTTATTCTTCTTGCCCCATCGTAACTAGGCAACGGTGTTGCCGCACGATGATAGTAGATTCGCCACAACTTCAACAAAAAAATACCTAATTCGAGAATATAATTCCTCCCCCTACTGTCACAAGTATTTTAATGTATAGGGCCCATAGAATATCCTTTAAATCGCGTCCTGGCGTTAAGGGGAGAGGATGAGAAAGTATAAATTTATGTTATAAAAAATGAGAAAGGTATTAAATTTCTTAATGTCATGTTTCAAAATCTAATACATAAGTAGTATAAAATACCTAAGTACTTAAACATAAAATTAAAATTTCATGTATATATAGTATTTAGAACTGTGTGAAAATATTTCCATAATCTATACCAACATATCTAAGAGTATTATCACTTCTAACACTTCTGGCTTTTCGAGGGTAGTATAGCACAAGATGGCGGCTCGACATCGGCTGGGAAAAATAGGCATTATACAAGCAGCCCGCGAACTGAACGGACGTGTCGTGCACATGTTTCTAATAAAAGGAAAGATTTTAATGTTTGCTTGGATTAAATAGCCTCCGAAACTACTAGACTGATCTGGACGAGACTTTCACTCGTAGATAGCCAATGTTATAGATAATAACTGAGGTGTCTTCCATTTTAGATATTTAATTTATTTTAATATAAAAAAGTCATATTACGGACAAAGTTGAGGTTACAATCAGTTAAAATAAAATTTGTCCAGTAATGTAGTGTAAAACTGTTATTGTATAATTCTTAGTGTATTTTAATTATCAGGTATGTATATGACTAAAATAGTTAATGATGATGATTATGATGTTAACCGATATTAATGTATAGGATGCCAACTATAACCTAATCATATATCGTCGATTAAATAGAAAAATGAAATTTTTCAAAATTAGAAGCTAGAATTGCCTCGTTTCCTTTATATAAGTCAATTAAATTAACCACCCCGTCTTTATCATTATCAAAATACTTTTAAAATGATATATAATACTTCTATGTAAATTTAGAACTTAAAAGGAAAAATAATTTTAATAAATTAAAAATAAACTTGAATGTTTGTCTTGTAAAAAAATTACATTTTGAATACTGCCATTTTTCTATTTAACCGACCATAATTCAATAATAATCATTGAAAAAAAAAATTGCCGTCTCGAAACTCAAAAAAAAAAACATTCGAACGACGACCTCGTAGGTCTCTCCGTTTAGCCCACAGCTTTACTTCCAATGTTCGCTGGTTCGATTCCTCGCACAGTACTAACATTAGTATGATTGTTTGTATTAGTGTGGATGTTGTATTGGTGTATTTATGGAAAAATTCGAAGTATCTGTCAGCTGTCCTTCTGTATCCATAATACAAAAGCTGCTTAGCTTGGGACTAGATGTAGCTGTATGATTTATCTAGGTATATTATATTAATTCTTCGTATATTACGTCAAACAGATACAGGGTTATCCGCACCCTCTCAGGACGGTTAGGTAGTTTGGGGGCTCGGGGCGAGCCTCTTTACTTGGCATCGACTCCCAGGGACAACAATCCCAACAGTCGCGGTTAGCAGCCTTGAAGGACAGGAATTCATAAACTTAATATTCTTTTTTATATAAGATAACCTAACTTAAGAATTGGTGCCAATATATGAGAACGGTTTCTTTCTATTAAATTAGTTTTTAATTTGGAACTAAATAGCGCGGTGTGACGTCTCCTAAGTTATTGTGTCTCTGGAATAGTCAATTGTCATCCCCACGTTCAACCTTATACTATATATAAACAAATAAATTTCATAACCTCACTCCACCAGCACTGTTCCACCACCGTACAGCAAGACAGAGAGCGGTTCCCCCATACATTGTTCACATCCCTGCTGCTCGTACCAACCGATTTGCATCATCTTTCCTTATGCGATCACCTAAGCAGTGGAACTCACTGCCAGTGTCAGTTTTTCCTAGCTCTTACAACATTGGGTCTTTCAAGTCAGAAGTGAAAAAGTGCTATTTGAGCATGTGTGGAACAGCTTAGACTGCATCATCACTTAACATTAGGTGATGCGGTCAAACGCGCTCAAATTTAGTAATAAAAAAACCTAAACTATTAGTTATCTTTTTCTTTTTTTTTCTCGAATGGCAACACTCGCGATAACTGTCTTTGTCAGCTGGCCGAAATAATAAATTACTTTTATATAATTTATTAGTATAATGTTATATTGTGTTTATTATAATTAGTTAGCTTATAAAAAGCATCGATTGTTGTTTGTGTGCAATTTTATGCAGTATTTGTTCGCAAAAATCGACGCAAATTTTTACGTACCGGTCACCTGTCAAAGTTTGTGATAATCAAATATTTACATTAATTTGAGCATTTTTATCGTGAGATTCACTTCAATTAATCTACGTTTACTATATCAGTAAACTTTAGATTTACTTGATAAATTGATTTCGTTATATAGTCAATAGTGAATTTTAGTTGTTGTGTCGAGGAAAAAAGAATACCCACTAACTCCATTATTGTAAGTACTTATTAATACTAAATTTAATAAAAATTTGATTGAGTAAGGAAATAGCACAAGTTCTAAATTCCATTAGCTTTATTTATATCTATAAATTTATCATATCGAAATAATAATGTCCTGAAGAGCCTGTGATCTTGAGGATAAACTTAAGGTGTCACTTCTAGAATTAAAAAAAGTGCAAGACTTGAATAAAGAATTATTACAGGAACGAGATGATAGTGAAATAGAAATGAAATCAGTGCTTGACAAGTATGTGACCCTGAAGAAGGAACTGATGACCATTAATGGAATGGAATGTGAGGACCTACGTGTTGACAGGAATAGACTGCAAGAAATTGTGGATAAATCTGACAGTTGCAGGGACACATATGAGTCAGTTTTACAGCGTATCACTCACCTTGAGAGACACCTTAAGGAGGCCCAAGCGGAAAGTGAATCTATGGTAGAACGCCAGCGGGTGAGTAGCTATAATAACACCTTACCTATTTTCATAGCATTATGTCATACGGTATTTTATTATGGGGCAAAGCAGCTGATATAAATACAGTATTTATTTTGCAAAAGAAAGCCATCCGCTCCATTTACGGTATGGGTTCCAGAGAGTCTTTGCGTGAATGTTTTAAAGAATCAAATATCCTCACCGTTGCTTCTCAATACATCTACGAAAATATTATATATGTCAGGAAAAACATTAACATTTTTAAAGAAGTAGGTGATTACACTAATAAAATCTTACGTAATGTCATCAAACTAGTTTTACCTAAGTCCCTTTTGACGAAAGTTAGTAATTCGTTTTATGGAAATTGCGTAAGGTTTTACAACAAACTTCCAGAGTCTGTACTCAATTAATCAATTAAACTCTAATTGAGTATTAGCAAAAAAAAATTCAAATGTGTCATAAATTATTTTCTTTGTAAAAAATCTTATTATAAAATTGAAGAATTTATAAATGGTAATAATGTTTTTGTAGAAAATATCTAACTTAAAATTCATAGCGCTGACAATGTTATCTGATTGAACAGAGATTAAATGCGTAGCGGTTTCTATGTTGATTGTCGCATGCCTAATCCTTATTGTTAATTAAATATAAGTAAATCAATATTTATTTAAAAGAGCAACACACAAGTTTCTTGCTTATTCTTCTTGTGATGAATCTGCATTCCGAATAAGCGGTAGAATAAAAAAACTTGACTATTCAAAAGTGCTTATATTTAAAGTTTATTTGAATAAAAATTATTTCTATTTCTATTAATCCAGTCCAATTCAAATATAAAAGAAAAAAATTTTTTTAATGAAAACTTATACACAGGGACGAGTTTCTGGTGAAAAAAACTTTATATTTTTGCCCTTTATACTGCTAAACTATCCATACAATTAAATATATACAGTAGTAATATTTGACATGCAGGCACTACGATTCAGCTGATCAACCAGAACTGTCTTAGAGGAGAAGCAGATTGTTGGTATTGTGGACTGTTGGCCCTATTGCTAGCAATGTCCCAAGTCATATTGACCTCCATGCTATTCCCCTGAAAACCATCAATATAAATTTTTAGTGAATTTACCACGATTGGCTAACTGACTTCGTGTTCAGTTTATCACCTTCCACTTGTACCCCTTCAGCGTAAACAGTTAGCGCAAACGGCTCAATTCCATTTTCATCCATTTAAAAAACCAAAACTGTCTCATGAAATCATCAACGCGAGCAACGTCGCGAGAAGTATTTTTATTCAAGTTTGAATCATACACACAATTATACAACAGTTTTATTAATAATTAATATTTTATTGGTTTACAACATGTGGAGTACAGATCTTATATACAATCTTTCTTATTGGTTTAATCTATTAAATTAGGTTTGTTTGTCTATATATTTGTGCGTTATCAAATAAACATATATTTATTATGCATTCCACAACAAAGAAAAGATAGATTTTTTTAATAGCATACGATACAAACGAGCTTGTAACACCAAGAGAATTGCAAGTGCATTGCCAGCCTTTTAAGAAGGAATGAATTCTTTTCTTGAAGGTTTCAATATCGTATCTGAAATTCCTTGGTTAGAAGGTGATTTAATAAAAATAGCATGGATTATACTAATAGATACAACAAAGAAGATAATATATAAGCATGTTTCAAATGTTACAAGGAAAGCGTAATTAGTCAGGTAGCGGATTAAAGATCAAGATATTTGCGAACATTCAATGGAATCTGAGCTACGTTTTGGTAGCAGATGCAAATTTTGCCTCTTGGTTTAGATGAAGCGGGAATGAGTCCAGAATTGCTGACTGCACTACTACTAGATGATCCACTGATTGATGATGATGATGATGCACTGGACGCTGTAGATAAAAAAAGTATTGTAAATTTTATATTACTTGAATGATGAGCCATATGGCAATAGCATGAACATGCACGGGATTTTAATTTAATTTTAGACACAGACACCTATATAAATATACATTGAAAATAAACTGGCTTTTAAAAATTAGTAATTCAATTGAGTTTCCAGCCAGTTCTTTTCAATTGGATCTATATACCGAACTAGACGGTAGGGAAAAAATAAAATTATATTGTAAAAATTTGACGTTCATAAGCGGCTAAAATATCCTACATGAATAAATGATTTTTGAATTTGAATTTGAATTATACTGAGGAAAGATTTTTTACTAATAAAGAACTTTTAGAAGGCTTTTAGAGTCTTTATTAAGAACTTTTATTGTCTCACCGATTGCAGTTTGGTATGAAGAGTGAGTTAGTGAAATTACTGGTTAATCAATAAAATCTTAACTCTCTAGTACATATATCAACGCATGTGTGATATAATTCTGGCTTCACGTGATAACGTGATGTTGTTCATATAAATAGACAGTTACCATTTACCATCAGTTGGATCGTCAGCTTGTTTTTTATTGTGGTTCCATTACATTTTCTTTTGTTTGTATTAAAAATGAAAATTTAATTTATTCAATAAGCACATACAAATGCTAAATACATGCATAATAAAAATTTACTTGACTGATTAAAAAACATATTGTACCTCTAGAATCATACGTTATAAGGGAATTACATTAGTTATAAATATTCTAAAGTGACATTATAAAGAGGAAAACTTAGTTTTATAAAATAATCTTGTGATTGATGAGATGATGAGAAAGTGTAACGTCCTAGATATATGTATAGATACAAAAATCATTGTGTGTCAATTTATATTTTATTTAATTCGTAGGTTTGCCTGTATATGAAGTAGACATTTAACTATACCTCTGACTACATGGTTTGAGAATAGTATTTAGTATTAGTTTTAATTTAAAATAACTTACTTTCAGATTGCACGATATTTGCATTGTTCTGTGCGTTACTTGCAGAAGCTGCGTTGCTCTGAGCGTTACTTGCAGCAGCTGAATTGCTCTGTGCATTACTTGCAGCAGCTGCGTTACTCTGTGCGTTACTTACAGCAGCTGAGTTGCTCTGAGCGTTACTTGCAGAAGCTGCATTGCTCTGAGCGTTACTTGCAGCAGCTGCGTTACTCTGTGCGTTACTTACAGCAGCTGAGTTGCTCTGAGCGTTACTTGCAGAAGCTGCATTGCTCTGAGCGTTACTTGCAGCAGCTGCGTTACTCTGTGCGTTACTTACAGCAGCTGAGTTGCTCTGAGCGTTACTTGCAGAAGCTGCATTGCTCTGAGCGTTACTTGCAGCAGCTGCGTTACTTTGTGCGTTACTTACAGCAGCTGAGTTGCTCTGAGCGTTACTTACGGCAGCTGCGTTACTCTGAGCGTTACTTGCAGCAGCTGTGTTACTCTGTGCGTTATTTACAGCAGCTGAGTTGCTCTGAGCGTTACTTGCAGAAGCTGCATTGCTCTGAGCGTTACTTACAGCAGCTGCGTTGCTCTGTGCGTTACTTGCAGCAGCTGAATTGCTCTGTGCATTACTTGCAGAAGCTGCGTTGCTCTGTGCGTTACTTACAGAAGCTGCGTTGCTCTGAGCATTACTTGCAGCAGCTGAATTGCTCTGTGCATTACTTGCAGTAACTGCGTTACTCTGTGCATTACTTGCAGCAGCTGCGTTACTCTGAGCGTTACTTGCAGCAGCTGCGTTGCTCTGTGCGTTACTTACAGAAGCTGCGTTGCTCTGAGCATTACTTGCAGCAGCTGAATTGCTCTGTGCATTACTTGCAGAAGCTGCGTTGCTCTGAGCATTACTTGCAGCAGCTGAATTGCTCTGTGCATTACTTACAGAAGCTGCGTTGCTCTGAGCATTACTTGCAGCAGCTGAATTGCTCTGTGCATTACTTGCAGAAGCTGCGTTGCTCTGTGCGTTACTTGCAGCAACTGAATTGCTCTGAGCGTTACTTGCAGCAGCTGCGTTGCTCTGAACGCTACTTGCAGAAGCGGCGTTGCTTGTTGAAGCTGTATTACTCTGTGCACTACTTGCAGATACGGCATTGCTTTGAGCGCTACTTGCAGAAACTGCACTGCTAATGTAAAATAAATTATATTAATTCATACCTTAAAAATAATTATTCTCTTAATTATAATAGATACTTACATAAATATCATCAATAAATATGTATATTGTAAACAACGTCCGTATGGAAAGATAAAACTAATTAAATTCTGTGAAAATGTAACTCATAAAGAATTATAAATGTGAATTATTAAGTTTAAAAGCATGTAGCTTAACAAAATTCATATTTAGCATCATATGCAATGTTTAACAACTGAACAAAAAGAAATAATAAACGCGGAGTGAATATAGAAGTTTGAGCGTGGATCGCAACAGATACAGAGACACCAAATAGTCTAAAATTTTAAAAAAATCTGTAAACAATTACCTCTGTGTAGAACTACTAGAACTGGCTGGACTAGGGCCTCCTGCAATATGAAAATATAGCTGAATATACCGAAATTGGCTGTACAATTTGTATTTGTCTATGTCAATACCTGGCACAATACAAATTAATTACAGAGCTAATATATGAATTATAATAATAAAGAAAATTCAGCATTACAATAATACTTGCTATAGTACTTAAAACCCAAAAACATACTGGTATCTGAATGTGGCTCCCACTCAGCATTTATACTGCAACACCTTTGAGTTATATACATTTAGATATAACTAAGTTATATCACCGCGCTGATTTTCAATGGGGCCACCAAACACGAGACAGCGTACGTACAGATAACAAAAATTAAAAAGAAATTTACGATTAGGAGCATTTTATAAATTTTATAAAGACCTCTGTCAGACACCTATTTCTGACGATAATAGATTGCTTTGTAAACTATTTTCGGATGTGTCAGTGAAATTATAAGAAATGAACACGTTATTTTGACTCGCAACGCGTAGGTGATAGTTAAACAAAACTCGTTTTAACTTGTATACATTGAAATCAAACTTCATAGTAATGTAAATTATAATCAGTAATAACTATATAAAAAAAATGTTCTAAACTCTTTATTTTATTCAAAATAAGAATAATTTACCTTCAGATGGGAGCAGGATTCCTTTTCCTTGAATCCATAATATGAATAATTCCCACAATTCTTGAAAACCGGATTCTAAAATAATATATATATATATTATGTTCAAATAAGTAAATTAAATCTTCACAAATCACAATTTCAAGCCCAAACTAAATTAAACAATTGACAAACATAGTTATATATACTTTTCTTTTAATACGAATATACATAGAAAAGTAACTAAACTAACAAAAACGGTTATATATATAAATATTTGTGTTATAACTATACCATGACTAAATAAGATTGTTAAGTGTCAGTAGAAGCCACAATAATCAAAGGTTAAGTCATGTGCTGAACCATTAGGCTCTTCAAATTGATATTAATTGTTATTAAGTAAAAAATATTTTGTATCGATTGCTTACTGTTGTAGCAGTAATTGCTCGTTTATCATTAACTAACAGATTAACAAAGTCCACAACTTACTAAAAAGTTATGAAATTCATAAAATAATAACAGAACAAGAAATATTTCAATCCATACCTGAATTTTCAGTATCAGTTTGAGATTCAGATGTTGAACTTGATGTGCTTTGAGAGTTGGTTGAGGATTGCGAAACAGAACTGCTTGATTGAGAACTGCTAGCACTGCTTGTTTGCGAACTGGCTATTTGTTGTGCGCTATTTGCAGACGCTGCGTTGCTTTGGGCGTTACTTGCAGAAACAGCGTTGCTTTGTGCGTTACTTGCAGAAGCAGCGTTGCTCTGAGCGCTACTTGCAGAAACAGCATTGGCCTGTGCGTTGCTTACAGAAGCAACATTACTTCCACTGTTGTTAACCACAGTGGAACTAAGCGGAACAGAAATAAAATATTGTCATTCCCATACATAATGAGTACTTTATAAAATATTACTTATTGTAAATTATTACCTTTGTGAAACACTGTTGGAACTACTTTCAGCCGAGTTAGCTGTAAGAAAAACAAAAGAAAATTCACTACACATTTATAATAAAACCCTGATACTGTGGTTATGCTATGAATTATGCTATATAATGTATATATCTTTTCATTACTTTTACAGTAATAAAAAGATACAAAGCGCGACATTGCTAACGTTACTTAGAAACGACTGATGCGATGCACACGCTGTAAATATAAAAACGTCCTAATTTGCCTATACACAAGAAATTGAATGTATATTCGACAAGCCGTGGCGCACTCTTTCATTGATTTAGGAAGATACATTATTTTAGAGTGATATAACATGTTGATATATATATACAAAACTCAAAAACTTATGAGTACCCGGCAGAAAGGAGAACTGACAATTTATTGTTATAAAGAAACTTATAGCGACCCTTTAAAACGCGTACTTACATATTGGTATTACTTTTGTTGTGGGAACCGGCTGACCATTTACAATTCTATCAAACGTAATGACTTCGAAACCTGTGAAAGATTTAGTATCAAGTTCGAAAGATTGTAATTCATTTATTCAGCATGCTGCGGGATGTAGTAATACGACGTTGTCGGTTACAACGTAATTAGCTTTGACCTCATTATTACTTAACATCTATTGAGATACTAGTCAAACTTGCTCAAATTTTGAATTAAAAAAATACATTTATTGTTTAAAAATAGTATAGGGACGATTGCGAACAATATTTTCTATATATATAAGCCAAAAATTGGCTTCCAGCGACTAAATACCAAATTCAAGAAGGCAGCGCCCCAGAAAACGTTATTATGTGATATGTTGTTACCTGGTCCAGGTGCTGGTGGCTCAGGAACGACAGGAATTACAGGGGCAAGTGGTGCTGATACCACCGACGGTAATCCTAAAATATTAGGATCTCTTGAAAATTACAATACTACTTTATAATGCCAAACATAAATTAGTGACTTGATTATGCTAAATTAGTCAGTCTGTTTGGTTTGTGTTTAAGTACTCGTGTTATATATTTATATATACCTTCCTTCCATCCCTATCCTATCCACATATATATAATTTTATTCCGTTTAAAATACTTACCGGTTTATTAACATTTTGTCTAGTTTTCATGTTATTTATTATATTTACCACCTATGGTATGGTTACTAGTTACGGTTATTGTTCAACCTACAAATTGAAGGTTAGTATTTTTGCTCTCTGCATATATAATATAACTGTGAAAATTCAAAATCATTACCTGATATAGGAACTGGCGCCACAATCGGTGGAACAATTGGTGGTGGATTAATCGGTACAATGGGAATTGCTTGTACTGGAGCAGGTTGAATAATAACATTATTACTTGGTGCTACAGTAATCTGAGTTGATACGGATTCTGGGGCTGATTCAACCACTATTATTTCACTGGATGCTGGTGCGTCCACTGGTGCAGCTGGTATAGCCGGTAATGCAACAATATCTGGAGATGCTACTAATGGAATGGCTTGTACTGGAATAGAAGGTAAAGGCACAGCTTGTACTGGACCTTCATTCACCACTACTGTTTCGCTCGAGGTTGGCTCGACTACTATTACTTCACTAGATGCTGTAGCGATTGATTCTACAGGTGCAGCTGGTATTGGAACAGCTTGCACTGGAATAGCAGGTAACGGAGCAGGTTGTACAGGTACTTCTTCTATATCTACTACAGTTGGGGCAGGAGCTGCTTGGACTGATTGTGGTTCAATCACTATTGTTTCACTGGAAGATGTTGAGATTGATTCTACAGGTATTATTGGTACTGAGTTAGTTTGTAACGGAATAATTGGCACCGGAGCAGGAATAGGTTGTATTGGAGCTTCTTCAATTATTACTGTATCACCTGACAGTATGGGAATTGTTGGTGCTATTTCCGCTGGTACCGGAACGGGTTGAATTCCTGCACGTTCTATTTCTTCAATATTAATTATGTTTGTATTCAATTGTGGAATAGGGCGTAATGGTTGTATGGGTATTGTAGGCTGAATTATTATAGGTGAAGCAGGTTGAATTGGTTCATTAACTAAAGGTGCCTGTACAACGTTGGGCAATTCAACTGGTCTCAATGGCAATATAATGGGGCCTTGTTGCAATCCAGCTGGTTGTATCGATTCAATCGGCCATGATTGTCCTAGTAATGGTCTTGGTATAACTGGACCAGGTACAATTGGTCCTGGTACTAATGGGCCGGGTAGAATTGGTCCTGGGACACCTGGTCCTGGTACAATAGGGCCTGGTCCTGGTACAATAGGGCCTGGTCCTGATACAATTGGTCCTGGTCCTGGTACAATAGGGCCTGGTCCTGGTACAATAGGGCCTGGTCCTGGTACAATTGGTCCTGGTCCTGGTACAATAGGTCTTGGGATACCTGGTCCTGGTAGAATCGGTCCTGGGACACCTGGTCCTGGTAGAATCGGTCCTGGTACAATAGGTCTTGGGATACCTGGTCCTGGTAGAATCGGTCCTGGGACACCTGGTCCTGGTAGAATCGGTCCAGGTACAAATGAACCTGGTAAAATTGGCCCTGGTACAACTGGTCCTGATGCAATAGGACCTGGTCCTGGTAGAATAGGTCTTGGGATACCTGGTCCTGGTAGAATAGGTCCTGGGATACCTGGTCCTGGTAGAATTGGTCCTGTTTGTACAAATAACGTAATATTTTAATATGTTACGTGAAACTAATTCAGATAGGTTGTATATATTATACTTTTACATAATAAAGCTGCCGTATTATATAGATATAATACATTTTCCAATATTAATGATTTTATTGTAGAAGCACAGAATAAATTAAATAGTACGTATACGCACATATGAATAATGTGTAGAATGAGAATAATAATGAACGAAAATATTATGACTAACATGAATTTAAAAATATTTAGTATTCCATAGATTTATTAGTTTCTTGAAGTCATATAACGCTGTGATAGACATAAACATAGAGGATGACGCAGCTGGTGTCGAGTCACAACGCGAGTTTCAAAGCGTTTGTGGCCCAGATCCCCAACATACTGACCACCTTCATGATGGAGGACTGGCCGAAAGGGGTGGTGTATCAGCGCTACGTTGGCAGATTGCCGTCGTCAATGCCGTAACCACAGAGACGATTTATATTATTATTACATATATATGTTAGTGCTACTATATATAATATAATTACTATAAGATATATATATGTACAACTAAACTAAAGTAACTAAAACAAACGTAATCTCGTTCGATTGTACATATAATATGGGCTATTAGTAGCCTGATATAAATAAATAAATGATAGATGAAGGTCAAAGAAAGTTACACCATCGAGATTCCGTTTTTTCGCTTAAATGCAATACAATTTATTTTTTATGCATATTTTTGTTATTTTGTATAACGTTTGTAACGTTAGTCTGGCTTTGGGAGATTTGTTGATTTTGCACATTATTGATATCTGTAATAAATTTAATTTAATATACTTTACACGTATTTTTATTGATCCAACCACAGATAATGCGATTTCTATATTAATGTTATGCTAACGTACTTTGTTGATTGACGTTGCTTGCTTGGCTCTGTGAATTCTGTTGTTGCTGCAAACTACTACTCTGCACTTGGTTGCTTGCTGCTAAAAATTATTTTCACACTTTTAGTCTCAAACTTATACAATTTTAATTTATGTACTTATACAAGTGTCAATCAATACTGATTGACACAGAGATGACTAATTGAAATGTAAATTATATATATGCATAATTACTTTGTTGATTGACGTTGCTTGCTTGACTTTGAGTGCTCTGTTGTTGCTGCGAACTGCTACTCTGCACTTGGTTGCTTGCTGCTGCAAATTACAGATATATTTTAACGTGGAATTAAATTTAATATGCTTCATAGCTTGCCACTAATGACCAAAAGATATTATTTCAATTCATGTTATTCTCAAGAACCTTGTTGATTGACGTTGCTTGACTGGCTTTGAGTGCTCTGTTGTTGCTGCGAGCTGCTACTCTGCACTTGGTTGCTTGCTGCTGCAAATTACAGATATATTTTAACGTGGAATTAAATTTAATATACTTCATAGCTTGCCACTAATGACCAAAAGATATTTATTATATACTCTATCAATTCATGTTATTCTAAACTACCTTGTTGATTGACGTTGCTTGATTGGCTTTGAGTGCTCTGTTGTTGCTGCGAACTGCTACTCTGCACTTGGTTGCTTGCTGCTGCAAATTACAGATATATATTTATTTTCAAACTTGGATTTCAATTTAATTTGCTTCATTGTCTGCCTCTAATGACCAAAAGGTATTATGTAATATTTGAATTAATGATATTCACACGTACTTTGTTGATTTACATTGCTTGACTGGCTTTGAGTACTCTGTTGTTGCTGCGAACTGCTACTCTGCACTTGGTTGCTTGCTGCTGAATATTATAAACACACTTTTAAGCATAAAATTTAATTTCTTAATTCGTTTCCTATTACAACACGAGTTTACCACAGATAAAGTATCAGTTACATGAATTGTTTATTTATTTACTAAAGAGAAACCAAGGCTGACTATACACATATTAAATCAATATAAAAACATACTAAGCCGCTGATAGGCTTTCACAAATAACAACAGATTAATTCTGATAAATTTGACATCACTACATAAAGAGAATAACAGGTTATAAAATTAATAGAAATTACAAAATTAGGATAAGAGTTGTGCTTGTTATTAATTAGTTTTGTGCTGTATATTTTCTTTGTTGTACTGTTCAAATGCAGTATACTGAGGTAGACTTTATAAAAATTCATGAGCCTGGGTAGCTCAGCCTCACCTACTTCAGCCGCCACGAATAATGCAATGTTTTGGTTGTTGAATGGGATAAAGAAGTGAAATTACAGGATAAGAGGCGTGACATCTTAGTCTTCCAGAAATGCAACGTGGTTTCACTGGAGTCACATGATAACAGATCCATGTATACAAGCGGTTTGCTATTACAATAGCTTATAATCATATCTATGTTATTAATAATACTATTACGTACTTTGTTTATTGATGTTGCTTGCTTGACTTTGAGAGCTTTGTTGTTGCTGCAAACTGCTACTCTGCAACTCGTTGTTTGCTAAACATAAATGGAGAAGTAAATTTATGTGTCTTTATTTTCTTTATCATTATTTATGTTTCTTTCATCTTGTATTTTCTCCTCTACCTAAAGGTTCTCTGTAAGAGATCACTTAAGCGATAAGACCGCCTATTGTACCTATATACTCTAAATAATCTATTTTCTTTTATATTTTTTAAGGTGCAATAAAGTAAATAAAATAAATAAACTTATACCTTTTTGTTCATGTATATAAGCGACTATATGTATATATATATTAAAAACTATATATTACTAACGACTTCTACTACATTTTTAATATAAAAATATGAATATATGCATGTCGTGTGATACAGTCTATCAGCCTATCTTACATTAAAATGACTTCAGTCGTTTAGGCGTGAAAATATAGGAAACAAACAAACAGACAGACTTAAGCATTTATAATACTAGTATGAATGTAAATACACGCTTACCATATGGAGCTGCGTTAGCAGATAAGATCTGTAAAAAAAAACGCTTTGTAATATATTACAATTAATAAAACTTTAACTAACGTATATCGAAATTACGACGGCCAGAGTAGAGGTTTGAACCCTAGTAGCGCTGAGACAAAACTTGTATCAGTCAGGTAAGAGTTGGTCATCTAGGCCAAAGGCCACTTCAAAGTACTATTTGGTGCACCCTCAGTAGTCATCCCTATTTTTGCATAAGCACTTTTAAATAGTCGTTTTTTTATTCTACCACTCATTCGGACGGCAGACTCATCGCAAGAAAATGAGAAACGCTTGAGAATTACTCTTTTAAATAACTTTTGTTCATACATTTTGAATCATTTTGTGTAAATACAAACTACTAAATAGCAAAATTGATATGAATAAATAAATAGTTACTGGAGTAACAAACTAAATCGGTCATAGTTATCATAAGAGACCACCTCCTACAAACAATCTGTTCACGAGTACAATGGGTGAGCCAGCCATCACTGCGCCAGACCTCACCCATATGGTTAATATTTAGGAAGGGAAGTTTTCTGCACTGGTGTTTCATTTGATATATAATTATTAAGTACTAGCTGTGCCCGCGGTTTCACCCCCATGACCAACCGTCGCATAGGCATAGCACATGTTATTCTGATGAAGCTATATTATTGCAAAGTTTCATCAAAATTCGTTCGGAAGTTTTTGCGTGAAAGGTTATAATATATATATATATGGATGGTTAGACGTCTAACCATCCATATACACAAACTTTCGCGTTTGTAATATTACTAGCTGTGCCCACGGTTACACCCGTGAAAATGATAGTATATGCGTTATTCTGATGTGTAAGGTATGTCATTGTAAAGTTTCATTAAAATCCGTTCAGTAATTTTTACGTGAAAGAATAACAAACATCCATACTTACAAAGTTTCGAGTTTATAATATTAATAAGATTAATAATGTATTAATAAATATTATACTTTGATTAATTCTTGTAGATTAACCTAAAACAATCTGACGTCAATTAACCCTAAACAGAAAAGACTTACGCAAAATACAAAGAACCAGTAGACCGATGCGTGACCACGCATCATGTGATCTGGGATCCAAAAGACCCGTGTGACACAGATGAAAACAAAACCAACTATACTTCCTTACAAGCTAACGAATTTTTATAGCCCACATTCGCTTCATCGTGTTCGATGATAAATCATTTGCAGCGCATCTGAATAAATAACTGGCTTAAATTTGTATGACTGCTACCAAGTTTGAATGCCTATTGTCGCTATTCATATTTACCTTATTCAGTTCTAAGTAGTTATAATTTCTTAGTAATCTTTTAGTATTTTTCTTTATGTAAATGCTAGATTAACTTCGCCATACAGCTATCGTATTACGCGCTCGTCATTCTACTGCGGCTGTGGACGTGCAATATTGCATCTGTGGCACATTACGTTTGCGCGGCAAAATAAAAACTACAAAATGACGTCTTTTTCAGATATACTAATTTTCTTGTATTCCTAATTCTTAATTAAGACTTAATTTTATGATGTAATTACTTACTTACTTTTATTATAATTTTATATATATAATTCTCGTGTTACAATGTACCATACTCTCCCGAAACGGCTTGAAGGATTTTTATTAAATTTTATATGCATATTCAAAAAGTCTGAGAATCGACTACATCTATTGTTCATACCCCTAACTGACAAGAGTTGTCATACAAATAACATAAATACACATACAACCCTAAATTTTTACCTTTCTGTCACCAACCCCTACTTTTTAAATATCGATTTAAATTTATACAACAACACAACGTTTGCGGACTCAATTAGTACACTTTCTATATATACTATAAAGCTGAATATATGTAAATACCGACCTTACCTACAGACCTACAGATACCTAGCAACAGATATATCGAAAAGTGCGGTATGCAGAATCTGCACGTGCCAAAGAATGAACGGCCGCAGATTCAATTTATATATAGTAGTTGAACAGTTTTCATTGAAATATTGTTAATTTCATATTAAACCTGTAAAACGCTGATAATATTCTTATGGCACCTGTTATTGGCACCACGGTTTCACCTGTATAAAATTTATAGCCTATTCTGATAAGCTCTATTATTTTAATGTTTTACTAATTCATTGAATAATAATAATAATAATAAAAATTATCCATCCTCATCATTCATAATTTATACTATCATTGTTTGGTGATTTTTACCCGCAATGATCAGTCTATTACCCCATCAAAGGGAGATATATAATATATATATAGCATGGATGAGTTATGTGATGAAGATAGAAATTTTCTGACTATTCGGCATGTGTTTAGTATGACGGCTTTTTGTAATAGTTCTATTGTAGAGGAGGGGATATGCAACGTGTCTAGGTGTTTGTTCAGACTTTTTGGTATAATTACTGTGGATGGCAAAACTATGGGTACTATGTGGATGGTGTGTGCTTTCCATTGTTTTTTTAATTCTGTGTACTTTGTTAGTTTTTCATTTATTTTTTTATTTATTATTATTATTTTATATATATATATATATATATATATAATAAGATTATAATACGAATATAATAATAATAATATTAAGATGCAGAAAGCGTTGCTCTTAGATTCTGCCCGCATTGTACGCCGGTTTCTCTCCCTGGGGCCCTGAACCCCGGCCGACTGTGCTTCTGCCGGCGGTATTTGCCATCTCCTCTCCTTAAGAGGGGAGATGAGAATTTTTGGATAGTAATTAATAATAATAATAATCTTAAGACAATTCACACAGCGCCATCTAGACCCAAGTTAAGCTATCTAAAGCTTGTGTTATGGGTACTAGACAACTGATACAAATACACAGATATTTTTTTTCGTAAATACACACATATTATACATAGAAAACACCCAGACCGATATAAACAATCATACTTATGAATGCAATGTTTGTGCCGTGCGAGGAATCGAACCCGCGACCATCGGACGTAAAGCGGTGTGCTAGACCGCTAGACCACCGAGGTCGTCAATGAATGGAATTAGATAGTACAACTACAGAATAAAACCACAGAATGCATCTAAAATTATTAGAAGAGTAACAAGCATCCATCCATCGGTCCACACTCACAAACTTTCGCGTTTATAATATTAGTAAGATAAACATCGACCGGTGTCACACCTATTTTATTTATAACAATGTCTGTAGTACTTTATTATAAAACTAGCTTTTGCCCGCGGCTTCGCTCGCGTCATGCAAAGTCTCAGCCCGATCGGTTTAAAATTGACAAAGTTTCATACAAACTTTCATCGCCTATTTTATCCCCTTGGGGGTAGAATTAATCAAAATCCTTTCTTAGCGGATGCCAACGTCATAACATCTACTTGCATGCCAAATTTCAGCACGATCCGTCCAGTGGTTTAGGCTGTGCGTTGATAGATCACTATGCCAGTCACCTTTGACTTATATATATATATATAGATTTAAGTTTACAATCACTCAATTTTTGTTCGTGCTGAACAGGACTACCGTCATCATCATCATCATCATCTGCTTCTTCCTTATACCATTCATTTGTGGTCGCTGTAATATGTTTTCCTCTTCCATTCTTATCTGTTCGCAGTCATCTCGTTATTCACTCCCTTTCTTACCATGTCATCTTTCACACAGTCCATCCATCTCTTTTTCGGCCTTCCTCTGCTCTTATAACCAACCACATTCATATGTAACACCTTCCTTAAAATATTCCTTATTTTACTATTACTTTTCTAACTGAAATTTTATAATCGCTAAAATAAAATTCGAATCATATTGAAACAAAGCATTATTTGCGTTTAATATACATACTTACGTCATGATATTGTTCCATTCGATTCATTGTTTAAAATCACACATTTTATTTCACACCTATATAATCATAGCTATAATAGAATTATTTAATTTAGTATACATACATGGTAACAATTAATTTTATTACACGCGCTTTAATACTATATGTATTGTGTATGAATATAGTAATGAATTATTTATGAATCAGCACAAAAACAATTTCTTTCATATACCTACATTATGTACAAAAACATGTTCTTTTGTATATAATATAATAATAAATGATATGACGAAATTACAGTCTAGACAATTTATTGTCTCTGATACTATAATTGCATCTTTATGAAAATATTCTCTTTAGTCTTTGAAATCACAAATTGTGTTTGTTGAAACGAAATATATATCTAGACATAAAGATAAAATTGTGAATGTCTGTTTGTAATATTGAAATAACCGTTTTTTACTACATGCATATGAATATAAATACGGTACATACACCAATATAACATTTTTTTAAATTTTTGTCTGTCTGTCCGTTTGTCTGTTTATTCCGGCTAATCTCTAAAATGGCTGAACCGATTTTGACGCAACTTTTTTTGGTAAGTAGCTGATGTAATAAGGAGTAACTTAGGGTAATTTTATTTTAGAATAATAAAGTTAAATTCCACGCGGACGAAATCGCGGTCGACACCTAGTGTATAAATAAAAGCTTGAGAGATTAATTCAATAAAGATTTTGAAAACTCGATTAAACGGACAAATTATTGTTATAAGACATTCCGATAATAATTGATATTAAATCTATTAAAAATAAATCTGAAAGAAAGAAAAATATATTTATTTGTCGCATACAAAACAATCATACAACATATTACAAAAATTATAACTAATTATTTTCTAAATACAGTAGCGACCAAATTGGTTTCCACTCAGCCTTGTGTATGAGCTGTAACGCCCATACGCGGGGGGAAAGGAGATTGTTAGTAATGTGGGCTGTTGACCCTATTGCTAGCAATGTTCCATGTCAGGTTGACCTCCACGCGGTTCCCCCTAGAAACCATTGTGATAAATTCTTGGTGAATTTGTCACGATGGGCTAACTTACCTGACATCATGCTCATGTTATCATCCTCCACTGGTGTCCCGCCAGCGTAAACCGTTAGCGCAGGCGGGAGCACCATTCCATTATCATCCATAAAAAAAAACGTCCATACGCTGATTTTCAGTGGAACCTTGTAGAAATTAATTTAAAATTTTAAACTAATTTAAAATCTCATTTTAAAGCTACATTCAAGGGTTCATTTTCTTCGCAATCATAATTAATATTTCTGATTCTCCTTGTTTATCTCTTTTTATCGGACTACTCTAATGCCGCAGTTGGCCTTTACACCTTCACCGGACGATACGATAATTGATACGACGTAAGTCTGAGGGCACCGCTAGGGGTTCGAACCTCAGCTCAGGGCGTCGTAATTTCGATCCCCGTTTGAATTGGACGGGGATCGATCGGAGAGGTGCTTATCCCTTTCTATTACGCTCCATTTATCATCTCCTTTGCCTCAGATATGGGTGACCTGATCTAAATTGTGTTATTTTTAGTAATATATAGTATAGTATATACAAATATACTATCCCTAAACGGGATATATATGTATATTTATATATCGTATGTGAGTATGTATGTCAAATAATATGTATTATTAATAAATTGTTTGTAAACTATAATCCGCTGGTTACTAATTTCTTAGTTCGCTTTATGGTTGGCAGATAGAGAACTAGAGAACGCCCTTAGGTGTAATATTCTACAAAAAAATATTAGCATTTGCAGAATCCTAATATTTTTATAAATGTGCTAAATTTCATACTCCTCCGTCAGCGCATATTTATAAAAAGATACAAAGTTTCTGCTACGTTACGTATTAATATATATAACCAAAGGGAACTATACTTTATCTTCTACATATATATATATATATATATAATATAGTTCCCTTTGGTTGACCAGTAGCAGTTTCAGGCAACATTCAGGCTAAAACTCTTTGAGTTTTTTGTCTGATTCATTAGGTTTACATAAACGTACGTAAATAAATCATCCTATATTAATAACAAACATATTTTCGGTCATTTGGAGGACAAGGCTAAAATAGACTCATAAAAGGTGTGCTCAATACAGTGAGACGGTATTTCACGATGGGCCATCGCTTGCAATTGTAGACACAGATCCGACCGCATATGGAATACTGTTCTGATCTCTGGGCGGGAGCACCACAATACCAGCTACTTTCATTTAACCGCATTCAACCGCATTCAGAACCGAGACAAATTTGCTTTGCGAGAATCATTGGTATCATGGAGGAATTATTATGTTCTGAGGAATTATTAGGATTAATACCAATTTATGAACTTATTGATCAGGATGAATGGCGGCCCTCCGCCGTGCTCTTTTCACATTCCAGCAATGGTATTTCCGACCGTACGATATTGAAATTTTCAAGAAAAGAACTTTTATTCCATCTTAAAAGGCCTGCAAGAGACGTTCACATCTTTTTGTAGCAAATTTTTTCATATCCACACGGTCAAGATTTTTTTTTATTTTCTTATAATTGTGACAGTTTGTCCTATATCCTAGCTTTCGGTTTATCGACGCTTTTAGGACACCTGTATACCATATTTTTGAAATTACATGTCTGGGTAATTTCCAAGACACAGTGAAGAGTATTTCCGGTTTAAAGGATATACTGAAATTACCCTTAAATAAATTAAAAACATCTGTTAAATCATATTTACTGAGCAAAGCCTATTACTATACTTACTACTATAATCACTAAACAATTACTTGAATGACGAGCGTGCAAGGCTTTTCATTTAATAATAGACATAGACACCTATATATGTAAGTTAACGTTGTAAATAAACTGTTTTTAAATATATATATATATATATATATATATATATATTATTATTAGTAGCTGAGTTCAACTTCCATGCGTCATATTACTTCTAAACTGTAAGATTGAACGAATGATTTTATTTCTATTTTAAATAGTAGTATCTCTCTCTTCTATTTTTAATAGTTCTATTTTAAGTACAGCAGAATGTTTAAGAAATGTTGTAGATTGTTTCACACCACGCTACAACATTAGTACTACAGATAGACTGTAAAAAGTCCTATGCGTAAGTGCCTTAGTCCTGAGGGGATAAAAACCATCACTCCTAAGAATATCCTTAAATTTTTGTCCCTCACGGGTCTAACTTTGAAAAAGGGCGAGCTCAATAAATCTATGGAGGTCACAGTGCACAGTGCACAGTGGTCTTAGCACATGACAATAGCCAAAAACCCAATAAAAAATGTACGTATGTGAAAAAAAATGTGATGACTATTCAAATGTGCTTCAATATAAGTTTATTTTATAAATGAATTTCTATTATATTCTATTCTATTGAGTATTGGGAATAATACATTATTATTATTATTTATTTGTATATATGTCTTTTATATCCATCCTATCTTTTTCATAGTTGGTTTTTTATATAGTTACGCTTATAAAATAATACACACCCCTTCATTGCACATAAAGTTTATTAAAATAAAACACAATTTTCATTAGAAATACAAGAATATTTTGTGATTTCACTTAGAAAATGTATTGTCATTGGACTCTAAATATTTAAAACCACTCCATCGCATATTGGCCGCCTTGTCGTATTTATTGTTGCCACTAATTAAACAGAGCATCAAATTATAGAAACTAAATCAAATATAACAGTAATGTGTATTAAGAAAACAATAACTAACAAAAATATTGGATCGATGATAGTCGTTAAACGTTGACCTGTCTGCGAACGTTCCATGGAATGCTAGCAATCGTATCGTAGCATATGCATATCTTGCCAATTCCTCTACCGACAGATGTAGTGGCACTGGCTGAACTGCTGGCTGAAGCACTACTACTGGATGCTGCAGCGCTGGATGATGCGCCACCAGATGCTGTCACTGTAAATGGAAGAGTATATTGACGTGCCATATCTTATTTGTGTGATTAAGTAATTTCATTTTGCCATAATTGACAGCTCCGTTTAGGTTTAGCACAACACTTTACTTGCGATGGTTGCAAGTTCGATCCCTTGGTATTCATAAGTATGATAGTTTGTATCAGTCTGGGTGTCTTCTATGTATGTTTTGTATGTATTTACAAAAAAATATCTGCATAAGTATTTACATCAGTTGTCTAGTAACCATAACCAAAGCTGCTTACCTTGGAACTAGATGGAGTTGTGTGAATTATCCAGTGTAATAATATTATTAAAAAATATATAATTTAAATGTATTAGCAAACGGCGGTTGTCATAATTTTAATTACTACTTAATTATGTATTAATTAAATTTTAGTTACTCGAGTTACCTGAATTACAACTCAAGTTAACTCGAGTCATGTTTATTTCGAGTTATCATCTATATTCACTCTATTTATTATTTTGGTATTTTGGTAGTCAAGTCTTCTACCTCATTTGAAAATAGTATAAGAGATTAACATTTTCCGAATCAATTGTAGATTTGACTCATGTACTCTGTAATAGACCTACACGAATTTTATCCGATTTGAGGTCAAATATACGTATAATAAATTAAAATTTGTAAGAAAATTAAGAATTCAAAACAATAGTAAAAATGTAAAATGTAATTGCCTAGGATAATTATCCTCTAATTAGATGAATAAACAATTTAACGATATCAAAGAATAATCTCAAATAAATTAATGAATCTCTAAATTTCCGACGAGAGTAAGAGAACTTGATAGTAAATTGACAAATAGAAAATATACAAATTCATACTTATCTTCATTCTGTTTCTTACCTATATTAACTGGAGCACTTGATGAACTCTGGCTATTACTTGAAGAAACCGCTACACTTTGGGCATTGCTTGCAGCAGCTGCATTACTCTGTGCGTTACTTGCAGAAGCTGCATTGCTCTGTGCATTACTTGCCGAAGCTGCATTACTCTGTGCGTTACTTGCAGCAACTGCATTGCTCTGCGCGTTACTTGCTGAAGCTGCGTTGCTTTGTGCATTACTTGCTGAAGCTGCGTTGCTCTGTGCGTTACTTGCAGCAGCTGCGTTGCTCTGCGCATTACTTGCTGAAGCTGCGTTGCTTTGTGCATTACTTGCTGAAGCTGCGTTGCTCTGTGCGTTACTTGCAGCAGCTGCGTTGCTCTGCGCGTTACTTGCTGAAGCTGCGTTGCTTTGTGCATTACTTGCTGAAGCTGTGTTGCTCTGTGCGTTACTTGCAGCAGCTGCGTTGCTCTGTGCGTTACTTGCAGCAGCTGCATTGCTCTGTGCGTTACTTGCAGAAGCTGCGTTGCTCTGGGCGTTACTTGCAGAAGCTGCGTTGCTCTGGGCGTTACTTGCAGAAGCAGCGTTGCTCTGGGCGTTACTTGCAGAAGCTGCGTTGCTCTGGGCGTTACTTGCAGCAGCTGCATTGCTCTGTGCGTTACTTGCAGAAGCTGCGTTGCTCTGCGCGTTACTTGCAGCAGCTGCGTTGCTCTGCGCATTACTTACAGAAGCTGCGTTGTTCTGTGCGTTACTTGCAGATACTGCGTTGCTCTGTGCACCACTTGCGGAACCTGCGCTGCTTTGTGCATTACTTGCAGCATTGCTTTGAGCGCTTGAACTTTGTGAGGAACTTGAACTGTTATATGAAAAATCAGAATATGCATTATCTATTTGGCGATGGTCTAGCAGTTTACTATTCACATTACTTCTGAATGTCGCGGGTTCGATCCTCGCACTCTACAAACATTCGTGAGTATGATTTTTTAAATCAGTCTGGGAATTTTCTATGTATATAATATATATATTACTATAATATCTATGGATTTATATCAGCTGTCTAGTACCCATAACACAAGCTCTGCTGAATTAAAGTGTTAAGAATATCATGAATGTATGGATCTTTATAGTTATTAATAAGTTTTCGACTCGTATTTATGTCTATAACACTTCATGGAATGAAATACGAGTATATGTATTTATGCATAAAATAATTGTTCAATAATATGCTACTATTATTCATGACTTATTATGTGCAATTTAAAAATGGTTTAATGAATAAGTTAAGTAGATAAAGTAACTTAGAATGAAATTTAATATTTTGATCAATTTGATTTTATACACAAGTTGAGGGAAAATGTGTATGAGATAAAATTAGTACCTTTGCGCAGAACTACTGGAACTTGCTTGGCTCGCTATTAAAAAAATAAGTAATTATACATTTTTAAATCAAATTTCAATCCTTACTAATATTACAAATGCGAAAGTAACTATCACACTTACATGCTAAAACTACCGAACCTATTTAAATAAAATTTGGTACACTGATAATAGTCTAGATCCTGAGAAAGGACATAGGATAGTGACATCATTTTCAGCTATCAGGCATTTGGTTTGTAACTTATTATAATGTATAACATATCCTTCCTAATAGTATAAATACGAAAGTAACTCTGTCTGCCTGTCTGTCTCGCTTTCACGCCAAAACTAGTGAACCGATTTAAATGATATTTGGTACACACCTAGTCTACACCCTGAGCATGGACATTTTAATGCGAAAAAAGGGTTGTAAGGGGTTGAAAGAGAAGATAAAAGGTTGTATGGAATTACCGTAATTTTTAAAGGTAGAAGCTTGAAACTTATTTTTTATGGTGTTAATGAAATATAAATAAATATGACATTCAAAGTTTATAATATTTTACCCTTAAGAGGGTAAAATAAAATAAATAATTAATCAAAAATGTACTATAGTTATTGACTAATTATTTTACTATAATAATATATATAAAATTGTAGATTCAATTTTTACTCTTGATCACTTACGAACTCTTTCGATACATATTTATTATAATCAATAAGTCATTGAAACTATATAAGATTGGATCCAAAGAAACGTTTATCATGGCCACGGTGGTTTGTCTATTTAGCACACCGCGTTACTTTCGATGATCGCGGGTTCGATTCCTCGCACGGTACAAGCATTTGTATTCATGAGTATGGTTGGTCTGAGTATGTAATATTTTAATGAGATCTGGGTGTTTTCTATGTATTTACAATTATATGTATGTATTTACAAACTAATTGTATATAGGTTCTTTTATTAATTGTCTAATACTAATATACTCTATACTCTAGTTAGCATAGGTCTAGCTCTGTGTGAATTGTTCTTAGATATTAGTATTATAACGGATACATATATTTCTTACCTGTTCTCAGAGTACCAACTATACTTATGAATGAGTATGGTTGGTCTGAGTATATAATATTTTATCTGAGATCTGAATATTTATATGTATTATATGTATGTATTTACAAAATAAATGTATGTAGGTTGTTTTATTAGTTGTCTAGTACCCTTAATACTCTGTTTAGTTCTAGATGGCTCTGTGTGAATTGTTCTTAGATATTAGTATTCTAACGAATATATATATTTCTTACCGGCTCTTTCCCTGTTCCACAACTTCCACAATTGCCATAATTCTTCCCAAGTAGCGTGAGCTAGAATTAATATAAATCATTTAACACTATCCAATTGTTATCTACTTAACTTCTGTTGTAATAAATTTAATAATATCTCTGTTTTTCTAATTACTTCAAAATAAGCTAACTTACTAAGTTTATAAATAAAATTGACACAATTCTACAAAATTCATAATATAACTGATAAAATAAATTTTATAATTAAAACTAAGTTAATAAGCAAAATTCAACTTGAGAGATCGTTCGTATTTTCTTTGAAATTAAGCAAATTAAATGAGACTATTGATATCTAAAGTAACATACTTAAATTGTCTCTCTCTGATTGAGAAACAGAGCTTGATGAACTCTGGGAACTGCTTGACGAAGAACTGCCTGATTGAGAACCACCAGCTCCACTAGAACTTTGAGAAGCACTCTGGCTAGCTGAAGCAGAATTGCTTGCAGCTCCTCCATTATTAGCTGCGCTAGAACTTTGTGCAGCGCTTGAACTCTGGCTATCTGAAGCAGAATTACTTGCAGCTCCTCCATTATTACCTGCGCTAGAACTTTGAGCACCGCTTGAACTCTGGCTGGCGGTATTGCTTCCTGAACTTCCATTATTAGCTGCGCTAGAACTTTGAGCACCGCTTGAACTCTGGCTACCGGAATTGCTTGCTGAACTTCCGTTATTAGCTGCGCTAGAACTTTGAGCACCGCTTGAACTCTGGCTGGCGGCATTACTTCCTGAACTTCCGTTATTAGCTGCGCTGGAACTTTGAGCACCGCTTGAACTCTGGCTAGCGGCATTGCTTCCTGAACTTCCGTTATTGGCTGCGCTAGAACTTTGAGCACCGCTTGAACTCTGGCTAGCGGCATTGCTTCCTGAACTTCCATTATTAGCTGCGCTAGAACTTTGAGCACCGCTTGAACTCTGGCTAGCGGCATTGCTTCCTGAACTTCCATTATTAGCTGCGCTAGAACTTTGAGCACCGCTTGAACTCTGGCTGGCGGCATTGCTTCCTGAACTTCCATTATTAGCTGCGCTAGAACTTTGAGCACCGCTTGAACTCTGGCTGGCGGCATTGCTTCCTGAACTTCCATTATTAGCTGCGCTAGAACTTTGAGCACCGCTTGAACTCTGGCTAGCGGCATTGCTTCCTGAACTTCCATTATTAGCTGCGCTAGAACTTTGAGCACCGCTTGAACTCTGGCTAGCGGCATTGCTTCCTGAACTTCCATTATTAGCTGCGCTAGAACTTTGAGCACCGCTTGAACTCTGGCTAGCGGCATTGCTTCCTGAACTTCCATTATTAGCTGCGCTAGAACTTTGAGCACCGCTTGAACTCTGGCTAGCGGCATTGCTTCCTGAACTTCCATTATTAGCTGCGCTAGAACTTTGAGCACCGCTTGAACTCTGGCTAGCGGCATTGCTTCCTGAACTTCCATTATAAGCTGCGCTAGAACTTTGAGCACCGCTTGAACTCTGGCTGGCGGCATTGCTTCCTGAACTTCCATTATTAGCTGCGCTAGAACTTTGAGCACCGCTTGAACTCTGGCTAGCGGCATTGCTTCCTGAACTTCCATTATTAGCTGCGCTAGAACTTTGAGCACCGCTTGAACTCTGGCTGGCGGCATTGCTTCCTGAACTTCCATTATTAGTTATTGGCAGCGCTGCGGCTAGAGAATTGCTTGCAGCAGCTGCGCTAGAACTTTGAGCACCGCTTGAACTCTGGCTGGCAGCATTGCTTCCTGAACTTCCATTATTAGCTGCGCTGGAACTTTGGGCAGCGCTTGAGCTCTGGCTAGCAGAATTGCTTGCAGCTCCTCCATTATTCGCTGCGCTAGAACTTTGAGCACCGCTTGAACTCTGGCTGGCAGCATTGCTTCCTGAACTTCCATTATTAGCTGCGCTGGAACTTTGTGCAGCACTTGAACTCTGGCTAGCGGAATTGCTTGCTGAGCTTCCGTTATTAGCTGCGCTAGAACTTTGAGCACCGCTTGAACTTTGGCTGGCGGCATTGCTTCCTGAACTTCCATTATTTGCTACACTAGAACTCTGAGAACTGCTAGAACTCTGTGAAGAGCTGGAACTTTGAGAGGAGCTTGAACTCTGGCTAGACGAAGAAGAATCGCTATTTTCTTGAGAACTGCTACTGCTACTACTGTAAAACGAAAATTATTATTATCATAAAATAGAGATAAAATTTGATCAATACCCCAAATATATACACTCTAGTGTGTCAACCAACGCGAACTTGGTTTAAGTCCTTATGGACCAAAACTAGTGCCACATTAGGGACTTTTTTACGATTTTATGATTTTACTGTTAGTTGATGATTCGGTATATCTATATAATTTTCGGTTGTTTGGTAATGATCAAATACAAATTCACCTAAGCGAAGTCTAAAAAATAAATAAATTGTTCACTAATTACCTAGACGAAGAACTGCTGGAGCTACTAGACTCAGAAGAGCTTTCTGTAACAAAAAAACCAAATGTTGTATTTCTTTCTCAGAGGACTTCAATAAAAGAGTATTCAACCCTCAGAACTTTTTAGGTAAGCCTATTTTGGAGATTCTCTTTTTATTTAAATTCTGGTGTTTCTCATTGTTCCATATAAATTTGATCAAGGTCTGACTAGTAGTTTATTAGTTATTCTTAATCATTTTTTCAAAGCTATATTTTAGTAGGATTACCTCCAGATCCTGATGATGAATGGTGCTCGCTCCTGCTGCTTTTGTGCGTGCTTTTGTTGCCATTTGCATCTGTCTGTTCATCGTATGTCTGCTCGCTATAACCATTAGGATCAGTTGTTTTTTTATCCCAACTGACATTGTTGGCTGTAAAAAACACATTTTAGTAAACATTACTCTGGCACGCTCTTCCTTTTTAATTCGAATCAAACGGTTGAAATTACGATGGCCTGAGCCCTGATTCCCTACAATTGATTCCCATCCAACTCAAATGGGATCGAGATTACGACGGCCAAAGCCAAAATTCGAACTCCTAGCAGTGTCCTCAGACTAAAATCGAATCCGTCAGGCGAGAGTTAGCCTCCATCCGCTCCATAAGCCGTTCATTTAGTTTGGAGTGCCATCCGCACTCGCCCCCTATCGTCCGGTGAAGATGTAAAGACCAACTGCGACCAACAGCATTAGAATAATTCGAAACAAGCTAATAATTTGGATGTCTGTAGTACTGTTCCTGTATATAGGCGATGGTTACCATTTACCATCATTTAGGCCGTCACCTTGTTACCATTCAAAGGACATAAAAAAAATAAAATTAGTAACATAATACAGTAAGATATTTACCCTTTGGAGCAGCGTGTGCACTCAAGATCTGTAAAAAACAAATCGTATGAACTCCTTATAGCTTCTTGAATTAAAAAAAAATAGAAAAGTAAAATTTGAGGTTATAAATAATATTCAGCTGAAACTGTATCGTAAATTTCTTTTATGCCGAGTTGTTTTTTTTTTATACCACGATGGTGGCATTCAAGCATACGGCCTGAATGAATGAAATGAATGAACGCCTGAAACACCAGGGGTATCACTTGCGCGTTGCCGACCCTTAAGAAACCTTAATATACCCTTCTGGAAAAACCCCATGCTGTAGTCTCGTGGGAAAACCTCGGCAGGAAGTTCATTCCACAATCTAAGTGTACGCGGGAGGAAACTCCTCTGAAACCGCACTGTTCGGGACCACTTAGGGTGTGGGGATGAATTCCCTGTCGATGGCGAGCGGTGCGATGGTAAAAGGTGGCTGTCGGCATCATGTCGAACAATTCCTCAGAACACAGTCCGTTGTATAATCGGTAGAACACACAAAGCGAGGCGAAGTCTCGCCTCAAGCTAAGTGGCTCGATACCGCCAGAGAGATTGGGATCATCGACAATTCTCATAGCACGTCTCTGAACCGAGTCAAAAGGACCAAGCTGGTATCCAGGTGCTCCCGCCCAAAGATGAGAGCAGTACTCCATGTGCAGCCGAACCTGTGACTTATATAAGAGAAGTCTCTAGTCCGCAGTGAAGTACCGCCTCGCTCTATTGAGCACACCGAGCTTCTTGGACGCCAGCTTTACCTTTTCTTCCAGGTGACTGCGGAACTCAACAGTACTAGAGATGTCGACACCGAGAATCCCAATACTCTTAGAGATGGTAACGGACGTGTTCTGGAATTGAGGAGCCACAGCAAAAGGGGTTTTCTTAGCGGTGAACGCGCAGGCTTGTGTCTAGTGACGTAGGATTGAATTAAACTAACTAACTCGCCCCCAATCGGAGACTCTGGTAAGAGTACTCTCGATTTCAGACACAAGCTGTTCGCGTTTTCCTCCACAACGGAAAGAGGGATATTAGCACGGCCCGTGTAATATGCGTCCCCGGTACTGTCATCCGCATAGCAATGAAGGTTAACTGTGGTTAACAGATCATTGATATGCAGCAAAAACAGTGTTGGGGAGAGAACAGAGCCTTGCGGGACGCCAGCGTTAATGTCCATGCTATCGGAGCAATTACCGTATACCACGGTTTTGATGCATCTGCCAGACAAAAAACTAGCGACCCATTTGCATAATCCCTCTGGTATACCGTACGAGGGCAATTTCGATAGAAGACCTTGATGCCAAACCCGATCGAATGCCTTCGCTATGTCCAAGCCGACTGCCAACGCCTCACCTTTACTCTCTATGGCAAGAGCCCAGTGGTGTGTGAGATACGCTAAAAGATCACCAGTTGAGCGATTATGGCGAGAACCATATTGATGATCGCTCAATAGATCGTGATCCTCTAGGTATCCAAGGAGCTGTGTATTAATTACACGCTCCATCACCTTGGAGAGTAGAGATGCGATAGCGATAGGCCTGTAGTTCGATGGGTTTGATCTGTCGCACTTTTTTGGCACAGGGTGCACAAGGGTGGTCTTCCATGATTGCGGAAATTGCCCAGAGGAGTATGAAAACGCGAAGAAGCGCGTGAGTACGGGACACAACTTAGGAGCACACTTCTTTAACGCCAATGCCGGTATATTGTGATACTTTGATTTTTATTAACTTCTATATTTAGTTTTCGTATATGCTGCATTCGTGTCCTAAATCATTTGTTTACTTATTCTTTTTATATTTAAAACATTGTTTCTACATTTAAAAAAAATTAAAAGCTAAAATTTAAAACCAACTCATTGGGAAAAATTATACAAAATAGTTGACAGGAAGAAATCCCTCTTTGGGATAAGTCCGCCATTGTGCGCTTTTATTCTATGAGTCAATTGTTCCCTTTTATACATAATTTAACATATTGTACAATAAAGTATTATAAACAAATAAATCTGTTAAGTTACGCATAGGGAACCCGCAGAGACGGGCCCGTCGGAGTCGCGGTGGACTATGATTTGGATCACGCCACTTCATTCAGCGTTGGATGAGGAAAATCTTGGAACTTTTAGTAAGTGGGAGCCTCACATTACCCGCTTGCCCCCTTCCGGGGTTCCGGGGGATAGTCCTCCATGAAGGATTTTCCCAAAGTTAAAAAAAGGTAAATGCTAGAAGAACTTTATAGAACTACTACTGTTCGGCTACCAAATCGACAGTAGTCTAGTCTCGGTTTGGTCGCCGAACAGTCAACACTAGGCTTCCAAGCTATAACTGAACTCCATTCAATGCCTGATGACGCCTCGTTCAGAGGAGAAACACGCGTCGCAATATGGATGTAGGCTCAGTAACGGTCGGAATTTGATTGCCATTAAAGAAGGTCGTAATGGTAGTCAAGTTTCCACACTGAATATTTGTGGTCTCACACATGTTAACTGTAGCGGAATTAAACAAAATAAAATTAAGTAGTGAAATTGACTTCCGCAAAATAATACCTAATTCGATTAAATATAAACATAAAATACTGAATTTAAAAAACTGCTTGAATGGAAGAATATACATAAATATATTTAAATATGACGGCTAATAGCGATCAAAGGCAAAAATGGCTGAAGGCAAGGAAATTAACTATTATTTTAATATATTTAATATTTGAGGGTAGGGGGAAGGGGATTGTTAGTAATGTGGACTAATAACCCTATTGTTTTATAAATTCTCGTCGAATTTATCACGATGTGCTAACTGACCTGACGTCATTCTCATCTTAACATCCTTCACTGGTGTCCCGCCAGCGTAAACCGTTAACGCAGGTAGATGCACCATTTCATTATCTTATGGATGCATAAGAAAAAAAGTGAAGTTATATTTCAGGGTTGCCAATGTTAAAAAAAAACTTACGCTGAGCGCACAAACTGAAGCGAACACGTATAACCAACGCATCTTGGCTTCTTCTGTCTTCTGCGCTGTCCACTGAAGTCAGCCCGACTATGCCATTCCTTACAGCTTGCAATTTTTATACTCAAAACTTCTGTGCTTGTATTGTTATACAAAGCTATAAATTAGTTTTATTTGATCTGTACAAACAATTCGAGACAATACTTCTATAAGTAATGAATCGATGAATATTGTAAATTATTATAGACATGTGTGCGATGTGTAAATTATTGTATAGGTACTAACTTATACAGTCGGATATGTTCAGGTTTTTTGGATCAAAATGACACCTTCAAAACTATTATAATTTACGTTATAACTGAATTACGGGAGGTGTTTGGGAGGGTAGTGCCCAATCTAATATACGATATGTTTTATATTTATTATTGTATTTAACAGAGGAAAGTACGAGCGGGCAACCGCGAGTTTGTTTCATTTTTTGTGTTAAATTATTCATAGCATTCTTCAATATTTCATGCTCTTTTAAAAAAAAATATTTGATATTATTTTCCGTAGACACAATTTCAAATTTACAATTCATTGCAAACTGAGAAATTAGTATATAAGTATGTATTTTTATTGTTTTATGTATGGATATCTTTATCCTTCCATCCTTTATTTCATCCCTTTCATTCTATTTGTTAAAAGATCTGATTTACATCAAATTTTATTAAGATCCGTATATTTATCCGAATATAGACAGTTTCAAAACAGTTAGTGATAAAAGCTTACGTAACAATAACAAACTATTTTACCTAAATGTCGTTGGGCTAAAGTTAGTAATTCGTTTTATGGCAATTGCGTAAGGTTTTTATAACAATTTTACAACAAAATACCAGAGTCTGTTATAAATCTGCCAGAAAAAAGATTTAAATGTCAAATAAAATACTTCCTTTGCAAAAAAGCTTACCATAAAATTGAAGAATTCGTTAACGACAATAATGTTTTTATAGAAAAATTTTAAAGCCATAGCACTTACAATATTATCTGATTACACTAATAATGAGTGCGTAGCGATTTCTATGTTAATTATCGCATGCCTCTTACTTGTTATAATTACAGTAATTATTTATATAAAAACATCTATTAAAAAGAGCAATACACAAATTTCTTGCTTATTCTTCTTGTGATGAATCTGCATTCCGAATAAGTGGTAGAATCAAAATATGACTATTCAAAAGTGCTTGTAATGAGTTTATTTGAATAAAGATTATTTCTATTTCTATTTATTTAGTTGCAAAAAACAAACCAACGGACAGACGCAACTATACATTTATAATATTAGTATGGATACATAAAAACATTCAGTTAATGATTTTCTTTACTGAGCACAGACAAAGGAACAACTTTTATGAACATATCATAAATATACGAGTATATTTATAAATATCACTTTCAATGCTTATAATAATAATAATTATCTCAGGACAATTCACACAGCGCCATCTAGACCCAAGTTAAGCTAGCTAAAGCTTGTGTTGTGGGCACTAGATAACTGATACAAATACATAGCTCATTTTTTTCGTAAATACATACATAATATACATAGAAAACATCTAGACCGATACAAACAATCATACTCATGAATACAAATGTTTGTGGCGAGGAATCGAACCCGCGACCATCGGACGTAAAGCGGTGTGCTAGACCGCTAGACCACCGAGGTCGAATCCAAGAAATATATAAATATATTTTATAAATCATAATTTAAGTAATAATGTTATAAATTTAAACCTATATTGAATTAACGAAATTTTTAGACCCCATTTTCGTCTTATTTCATTCGCAATATCGAGCAGTTTCGAGCAGTGCGGTGAAAACAAAATATTTTTAGACTATAATATTTTTTGACAATTAAACAATAAACACCATACTTCCCGCTTTTCTTTAATAGAAATTCTTTGGTGTATGGATGGTAGAACTTTTTATTGTAATTGTAGTTTTAGTAGATTTTAATAGTAGTTAGACTGCGTATAGTATATATACTTCTTCATATCTCCCCCTTTCTCCTATTTTTCTCTCGTTATAATAATATTACCTCTTTTTAATACTTTACATTATATTTTCATTATTTTAGTTTATCTACTTATATATAAAATTCTCGTGTCACAATATTAATTACCACTCCTCTAAAGCGCCTTCAATGATTTTTATGAAAATGATATGCATATTCAGTAGTTCTGAGAATCGGCTACTATCTATTTTTCATACTCCTAAATGATAAGGGATGTTCACCTCTAACCTTTATTTTATTTTTGGGGTATTTTTTTTTATAAAGTGACATTAAAAATACATCCAACCTTAAATTTTCACCCTTCTACCACCAACCCCTATTTTTTAATAGCGATTCTAATTTACATGGCAAAACAACGTCAAATATAATTATGACTAATTAACTTAATTGTACAACTAAGAACCTAAAATTAAAAAGCTTAAAAAATATAATATAATAACTAAAATATATTATTAAAAGGGGTCCCTTTAGGCAAAGTTCCGAAGATACTGGCAGCGTTCCTCTTTGAATAGCTAAACTAATTCTTTGTCCAAGGTAGCTGCCAGCTCTTCGGTCTTCTGTGAATTCGACTAACCTTTTCGTTATTTCTTTGAAAAGTCTCATAGGACCCCACGGACCAAGGATCTCGACACCAAATGGGACAAAACCCTGTATTTACATGCTTTGGCTTTTTCAGTCGCTTCACATGCCGCACCAGCTCTGTTGTTGGTTCCATGTAAATGGGATGTGGCCAGCGTGTCTGAACAGGTTGTATCCCATATATTTTGATGTATATAAAAACTCTAAACGAAGACTATTTGTCTTTACAAAAGTTGTTTGTGTACTGTACTCCAGTCTCTATCAACTTATTTTGTAGACTGTATTTAGATTAAGGCAGTTAAATTACAAAGGCTACGGTAACCATTTACCATCAGATGTGCCGTAAGTTTAATGACCACTCCTGTTACATTAAAAGAATTTGTGACTTTTCTTCCCATATATTCTATGGATAACGTACCAGGAGTGCATAAGTACAAATTGAATAAACACATGGTGAAATCTGCAGATTTTGCCAAGCAGAAAAGGCAAGCCATTACATATTTTATGTGGTTGTCGCCCATTCATAAACGAAAAACATAGTATACACTCTATCCTAAAAAGATAAAAACCATCGCTCCTAAGAATATCCTTCAATTCTTGTCACTGACGTGTCTAGGAAGGCGAAATTTGAAAAAGGGCGATTACAATAGATCTATGCAGATCGCTGTGCAGGTTAGCTTAGCAGCTGATAATTCAATTGAGTTTCTTGCCAGTTCTTCTCAATTGGATCTATATACTGAACTGGACTGTAGGGAAAAAAATAAAATATAAAATAAATTACGTTCATAAGCTGCTAAAATGTCCTGTATAAATTATTTTTTAATTTTTTTGTATTTGATAATAGTCCAAAAAAACACCCAATAAAAAAACAGAAATGGTAAAATAGTTGGTATGTATTCAATGGATAAAGTACCAGGAGTCCATAAGTGTGTAGGAGGCGTCCACGCTATAACTTGTCCATATTACGTTATTTTTTTCGGATTACTCTAATGCTGTTGGCCGCAGCTGGCCTTTACAGCTTCATCGGACGATAGGGGGCGAGTACAGATGGCACTCAAAACCTGCGGTAGGACTTATGGAGTGGCTGAAGGCCAGCTCCCGCCTGACGGATACGACATTAGTCTGAGGGCATCGCTAGGGGTTCGAACCGTCTTTGGCCGTCGTAATTTCGATCCCCGTTTGAATTGGACGGAAAATTGATCGCAGGGGTACGTAATTCAGTACAACATTGTGTTGTACCTACAGAAATAATTCGATTTTGATCCAGTTACCTAAAAATACAGTTCCCATTGCATAATTAAATAATTATACATGCATATGAAGCGAAATATAATGAATTACTTATCAAATACTACAATTATTTATAATTCAAACACGTAAGTAAAATAACAAATAATTCTTTTACACGTTATTGTTATTAAGTAGTTTCAAATAATAGGTTTTATACGCAATTAATGAAACCATCTGTTTATACATATTAATATTTCGTATTTATTTAAGAACAATATTATCTGGATTACCGCGTCAGTCGGAATGGATTTACGAGTTTGTTTACGAGGTACCTACGAGTAGTCTGTTATTGACAAAGTCATATGACGCCTTTGGATGTGTTTTATCTGTATACCTTTCGTTAGAAAATGTTTGTTCAATGAAATATAGTATAGAATTTGTTTTGGTTATCTGTGACGTGTGAATTAGAAGTGTAGTCATTTTTTTTTATGTACTTATACGTTTATTCTAGCCTACCAAGATATTTATGTAAATTTAGAAGTACCTGTGATTTTGTAGCTTTTTATTTGTGAACCGATTGTAATAAAACAAACAAAGAAAATATGTGAAGTTTATAATGTACTGAATGTGAAAGCAGTACACCGATTTTAGTTGTTAGACAAACAGAGCAATATTATGTATAACTTATACAGCTCTGTTTGTCTAACTACTATATAATACGAACTATAACTATATATTATGAACGCCAAACTTTGTGAATATGGATGGATATTTGTAACTCTTTCACGCAAAAACTACCGAACGGGTTTTAATGAAACTTTGCAGTAATATAGGTTATATATCAGACTACGTAGGTTGCAAACAAACATATAGCCCATCTGATGATAAACGGTTACCGTAGCCTATAGACGCTTGAAACACTAAGGATGTCACGTGCGTGTAGCTGACCCTTCAGAAAACTTAATATGACCTTTCTGAAAAATTCCATGCTGTAGTCTCTCGAGAAAACCTCGGCAGGTAGTTCATTCCACAATCTAAGTGTAAGCGGGAGGAAGCTCCTCTGAAACCGGACTGTCCGAGACCACATAGGTTCCAGCGTGTGGGGATTCCATATCGTTAGCGAGAGGTGCCATGTCAAAAGTTGTACAATTGTAGACAACCTATTAGATACAAATATTCTTACTAATCATGTAGTCATTTAATATTTAAGTTCAATAAAGAATACTGAAATAATTTTAGTTTGAGGTAAGTTTTATCTATGGAAATTTTATGCAGTCCTCTGCGTACCTCTGTCTCACCTACTTCGGAGGCCAAATAGCTTAGTTTTTGAAGTATTTATTTTTATAACTTATATATATTTATTATACTAAAACTAACCTACTACAATTACATGTCTCTGTTTAAAATGATGCAAAGACAAATCAATGAAATGGCTGATAAATAAGTGTTTTTACTCAGTGAAAGATTATTTTACATGCAAAATAGATGACATTATATATTTTTTATTAATAACTATAAATATTAACATTACTTCTTCTTCATCTTCTTTTCTTCTATGGCAATCGGTCGTTATTTTTACGACCATTTATGACAGCGTCATGTATCACAGGCAAATGTACTGGAGACAAAAAGTATATCCAAAAGACCAAGTAATTTTAGTCTTTCTGATGGAGAAACTAGAAAGGACAACACAAATTTGGTTAGTAGTTAATAGAGTACATATATAATATATAGGTGAATATATTTTGTAAGTAGGCTGTAATCCATATTTGCATTTTCATGTTATTACTTTTAATGAAATTTACAATTATCCATAAAACATTAGGATTAGAACATATTAGAATTTCAAAGGAATTTTTTAAAATATACGCTAAGTTGACTGGCAGGGGAATTTTTTTCTTTAATAAGCTGTGGATACACTAAATTGGATCGGTTTAGTGGGCAAGAGAAGAAAATATGGTTTAAAACTCCCTCCTCATGTCCACATTCACAAAGGGAGTTATCTCTGATTCTAAGTTTATGTAAAAATACTGGTGAGCAACATTGCCCTATGCGCAACCTACATAATACAGAAACAATTAAATATTAACATTAATTAATTAATATAGATATTTAAATGTATTTGTGGGTATTCGTAATGTAATGACATAATGTTATATTAAATTGAATAAGATTTAATTTGAATATTTGCATACCTCTAATAAGGGGCGATGCATGCCTTACATACATACTTTTATTAGTTAGTAACATCCGAAACTACCATGTAGCAAGCAAATAAATAAATAATTATTATAAACTAGCTGTGGTTTGGTGTGGCTGGTTTCACCGTCATGACATTTATAGCCTATGTTAATCTGATGTATAAGTTATATTACCATGAAGAAGTAAAAAACATCTATCCGTACATACTCACAAACCTTTGTGTTTATCATTATCATTACACAGTATAAAACAAAGTCGCTGTCGCTGTCTGTCCGTCCCTATGTATGATTCTGAAGCGGTTTTATTAATAGAGTTATTCAAGAGTAAGGTTTATATATATTTATATACATGTACACCCGTGCGAAGCCGGGGCGAGAAGCTAGTATAATTACTACTAATTACTACTTGGCGTTTATATAATTATAAACGCCAAATTATACTCATATTTATACCCGTCGGTGGTCTAGCAGTTTAGCACACTGGCTTACGATGGTCGCGGGTTCGATTCCTTTGCACGGTACAAACATTTGTATACGTATATTTGTTTGCATCATGCTTGCAGTAGCTAGTAATATTAATAAGATAGTTTGAAGGCCTCAGTGGTCTAACGGTTTAGCACACCACTTTACTTTCGATGTTCGCAGGTTTGAATCCTCGCACCCTGCAAATATTTGTATTCATGAGTATATTTTAGACAGGTTGTTGTCTGTAATGTCATTTACAAGAAAAATGTATTTAAGTATTTGTATCTAGTACCGATAACAAAAGTTCTGGTTTAACTTGGGACTAGATGGCGCTGTGTGTATTATCAAAGGTTATAAAATGTTAGTAATATGTGTATGACTAATAAACCCATTGCTGGCAATGTACCTCCACGTGGTTCCCCCAGGAAACAATCATGACAAATTGAATTTGTCAAGGTGTTAACTGACCTGACCTCATACTCATCTCATCATCCTCCACTGGTTCCCAGTCAGCGTAAGCTGTTAACGCAGGCGGGTGCACCATTCCATTATCATCCATAAAAAAAACAACTATGCAAACTTCCGCGTTTATAATTTTAATAAGATTAGAGTTAGATTAAACCTGAAAACTAGTGCCGCACAGGAGCATCCTTTCGCCATGCTGAACCGGGCCCTTTTGCTGTCTTTAATTAAGTATCCTAAATTGATTTATTTCGTGTAATATAACTGGCAGCAATAAATTATTCTTATTTTTATTCTTTTTCTAAACATGACAGAATTACACTGTATGAAACGTTAGGAAAGGCATGAAGGAACCTCTCGACGTCATGTGGTGACTATATATTATCACTTTATGTGGACAGGTATGTTGAAATCAAAAAGGAGTATGGAATAAAATGTATTACAGAATAACGGTGCAAAATCTTAAAGGAGAAGAATGGACCTTCTTTTTTTGGCTTGGAGAATGGTGACCCGCCCTCCGGAGCTGGCAAGCGGGTACTGTGACACTCCTACTCACTAAAAAACCCCAAGATGTCCCTCACCCAACGCTATATGCCAGAGTCGCGGGATCGAAATCAGTCCACCGCGACTCAGACGGCGGTGGCCCAATCTTTAGCGGACTCCATCTCCATCCCTAATGGAACCCACTTCTTCCCCCGTCTTCCCAGGGGAAAACGCGCAATTTTTCCGGCCTAGTGCGGTGGGGTAGGACTGCCCTCGAGGTTGTCACCCCGGCAATCTAGGGACGGCTTTACTCCAACCTAACCTCTAATTTTAGGGCTAACTCAGGTATGGATGATGATGGGATTACTGACCGTAATTGTGTCAGAGGCACTCCCAAATATTACGCTTGGATATTCGTAATTTACTTGGGGTAATAGTGGTATGTATTAGAAACGCCTCTGCTGTTCGTAATGCTGTTCATATAGGCGACGGTTACCACTTACCATCAGGTGGCCCGTCAACTAGCTCTTCCAATTACATAAAAAAGGTACTGTAGAAATCAATAAAAAAAGAAAATAATATATCATTTTATTAGTGCATTAAAATTTTGATTATTGGAGTTAGGTTTTGTGTTTCTTAAAGCAGAACGAAACTATACTCTCCATTTAGCTCCTGTACATATACAAATAAGGGATTGACTTTTTTTCCACTCTTCTCTAGAACCTTTAAAAGTTTTGTTCCATTTTCTTGTAGATTTAATATCATGAATTGTGGTGGTCTTTTCTCTTGCAGATTACCGTTAATGACGTCATTATACACGAGATTACTTCCTTCAGATCTTGTATCATTATTTACTGATGATTCTTTTGTTTTGGTAAGCTCTGGTATAATTACATTGGCGAATTGGTCTTTTTTATTAAGTACATACACCAATAAAGGATTGACTTTCTTTCCACTCTTCTCTAGGGACTGTAGAAGATTTCTTCCGTTTTCTTGAAGATTCAATATATGTAATTGTGGTAGTCGGCTTTTATTTTCATTTTCATCTTGACAAATATTTGGAGGTTGATTAACATTTTCGTCAGAAGAATTAACAGTACTAACTTCTTTGTTTGGCGTAGCATCTTGTTTTACATCATCTTTACTACTAGTTTCTTCTAGTAACTTTATAGAATCATTACGTGAGTCACTTGTTTCTGGATTATCAGCTATAACTACCTGGTCTATGTGTTCCTTTTGCACTTTTCCAGATTGATTATCGGTATCGTTATTAATAGTAGTGGTTTCTTCCTTTTCAATTTCATTGTTTGATGTACTGTCATCCTTAATACCTTTATCTAATGGTTTTTCAGAATCTTGATGTGACTCGTTTGTTTCTAAATCATTACGTAAAATTTCTTTGTCTGTCTGTTCTTTTTGCTTTTTGACATTTACAGTATCATTTTTATTTTCTTTATCAAAATTTGTACTAGCTGATTCCTGATCAGTGCCAGAGGAAATAGTAGTATTGCTTTTCTCAATTTTGGTTTGATGATTATCATCCTTGTCATTGGTATTATCATTGTCATTACCTTCTTCTGGTAATTTTTCCGACTCATGACCAAATTCTTTCGATGTATCATTACTTTGAATATTGCCTGGTATAACAATTACTCTATTAATTTGTTGCTTTTGTTCTTCCACATATACCAATAAGGGGTCAACCTTTCTCCTCCGTTTTTCTAATACTTCTAAAAGATTTCTTCCGTTCTCTTCGAGATTTAATATTAATACCTGTGGTACTCTATTGACGTGATGATAATCATTAACGTCAGTGGAATCAATTAGTTTTTCAATATTTGAATTACTGTTTTCAATCTCTTGATTAATTTCTTTAGAAGAATCAATAGTTTGAGTTACTTCGTTATTGTTTTGGTTTGTTAAGATATTTTCTTTTTCATTGCTATTATTATCTACATTGTTTGTTTTCTCTTCTTCTATTGCTTCTTTAGAATCATTATTTATATTATTAGAATGATGAGTTTCAGAATGATCAGTTTCAGAATTCTCCTGTACTATTTCTCTATCTATCTCCTCTATGTTTGTATGTGAATCGTATACCTCGGGACAGTTATTGACAGATACTTGTAACTGAATGTCCTTTTCTTCACTTTCATCTTCTGAATGTGATTCAATTTCAAATTTGACGAGCCGTATGTCTAAATCTTCATGTTCCAGCATAATATCGTTTACGAAATCAGTTAGTTTATCAATTATTCTGTTGATTTCTTCTTCTTTTTCTGGACTCATAGGGATACAATGCTCAACACGTTTAAAGTCAGCATCTGTAAAAGAAATAGAAATATATATATATGTATATATATATAAATATCCCCTTGGGCACTTTGTGGCTCAGACGTGCCGTATAGGTAGTTTTTTGTTGATCCTTTTTCACTTGTTGATCCGGAGGCCTTTTGTTGATCTAATGCCAGATGACCATATATAAATGTTGATCCGTTTTGAGCCACAACTGTCACGACGAGTAATAATAATAATTAAGCGATTTATACACGATTTTATACAAATCCACCTTTTTGGCATACGAGCAGTTCTTGATCCAATTCAAACGGGCCAATCAGGGTGCAGCATTTGCCAAGGGCTTCCTCATTGGCACGTTTGGGCTACTACATTATGGCTACAGTAACTTAATAATGTCTAGCTAGTATTTCAAAAATAATAGTCTACCTAATCTAAATATTTATAGAAATCAGTCTGGAGTAACGTGACTCCAGATCAAACCTCAATACTTGTTATTTTTTGGATGGGAATCTTTTCTTTTGTAACAACGTTACTGAGCGAATAAAGAGAAGACGCAACGGCGGATCCAGGGGGGAGCGTCATGGAGGTCATGGGAGTCATGGGGGCGTCATGATTCTCCCCCCCCTTAGCCCAGAACTTAGGTAGACCACTAATTGAACTAAAAAATAATGAAACAGCAAATTTTTTTGCACGATCGGAGTGTTGGTGCAGTAGTATTAATTATAATTAAACATTGTTACTTAAAACATAACAGTTAAAGTACTATAACACTAAAAGCAAAATAGGTATTTTCAAAATACTTTTTCAAAATAAATTACCCTTTGAGTTTTTGTTCAAACCTCAGATATTATATTTATTTTAGGTATATCAATCAATACATAGTATAGCATAGTACAGTCTGTCTGTCTGTCTGTTTGTTCCGGCTAATCTCTGAAATGGCTGGACCGATTTTGACGGGACTTTTTTTGGCAAGTAGCTGATGTAATAAGGAGTAACTTACACTACTGTTATTTTAGAAAAATAAAATAAAATTTCACGCGGACGAAGTCGCTGGGGCCAGCTAGTCTATAGATATACCGAGATTTAATGTTTAAGTTGCTATTATGTTATTGACAAAATTTTACTGTAATGTTACTATTACGTTATCCTACACAATTTGTATTATTTTGGATGAATAAATAAATAAATAAATAAATAATAATCTATACATCTATACATTTAATAAAAATTGGAGTGTCTGTTTGTAATATTGAAAAAAACCGTTTTTTACTACATGCATATGAATATATATAAGGTACATATACCAAAATAACTATTTTTATAATTTTAGTCTGTCTGTCTGTCTGTCTGTTTGTTCCGGCTAATCTCTGAAATGGCTGGACCGATTTTGACGGTACTTTTTTTTGGCAGGTAGCTGATTTATAAGGAGTAACTTAGGTTACTTTTATTTTAGAAAAATAAAGTTAAATTCCACGCGGACGAAGTCGCGGGAACACCTTGTTTTTAATAAAAACATCTTTTTTATGGTACTTGAGAATGTTGAAGCCTGTTGTTTGTAATATTGAAATAACCGTTTTTTACTACTTGCATATGAATATAAATACGGTACATACACCAAAATAACATATTTTACAATTTTTGTCTGTCTGTCTGTTTGTTCCGGCTAATCTCTGAAATGGCTGGACCGATTTTGACGGGACTTTTTTTGGCAGGTAGCTGATGTAATAAGGAGTAACTTAGGCTACTTTTATTTTAGAAAAATAAAGTTAAAAACCACGTGGACGAAGTCGCGGGAACAGCTAGTGTATAATATATTAGAGATACCTACGTGTTTTTTTATTGATGACTAGCTGTACACGGGATTTCGTCCGTGTTGAATTTAACTTTATTTTTCTAAAATATAAGAAGTTAAATTCCACGCGGACGAAGTCGCGTGTACAGCTAGTTGTCGGTAGTCTAGCGATTTATCTAGCACACCGCTTTGATTCCTGCTTGGTGGTCGAGGGTTCGATTCCTCGGACGCTGCAAACATTTGTATTCATGAGTATGATTGTTTGTAACGGTCTGGGTGTTTTCTATGTATAGATAATATATATGTATTTACGAAAAAAAACTTTGTATTTATATCAGTTGTCTAGTACCCATAACATAATCTTCAGCTAGCTTAACTTGGGTCTAGATGAAGCTGTGTGAATTGTCCTGAGATTACTATTATTACTATAATAAATCTTTTCAAATCAGCCGATGTTTATTTTTGCCATAATACGTGCTGTTACCATGTGATAATATTACGTACGTACTTATTACTGTTTTAAATGTGATGCGTTCATTATTTATATTTCCTTTGAATTAAAGACAAATGTAAGTATATATATATATATATATATATATACTTACATTTGCACACTTAGTTGATCCAGCCACTATCCGTAGATATTGCTGATTCCACTGTCTCTCTCTTTCTACCACTATAACGGTAGCGTGGCGGAACGGCAACATGTTGCCGTTCCGCGTTCTACCACTATCTTTGTATTCTAATATGCGATGTTGCCGTTCCGACCGAGACCATGCGTTGTTGCCAAATGTATTCGTCGATAGTAGTAGATACCTATACTCGATATATATTTTTTCAACAATTTCCTGCAATAGTGAATCCGTATCGGCATTTTTTTTAAATGCACAAAGATTTTTTGGCTCTGAATATATTTAAAAATCATTTACTTGTGTGTTGATGAATTTATATACTAGTACATGAAGTACCTAATACTTGTTTTGATTTGAATAGGTAGCGATATTATGAATTTATTATACGTAATCTAAAGATTTTGACGAAATAAAAGTAATTAGTTATCTGTTAACCTTGACTTCATGCTGGCACCAGTATTATCAGATGATGAACATACTCTTCGAAAACTTACAGCAGAAATATCGTGTTTGGACTCATTAGATAGGTCTCGATGAATAGAGTTTAAAAAACTTAAAATAAATGGTACATTAGAAATAATGTATAAAAACCCCTTACGTAAAATTCAACCACTTTAAACTTAATAATAATAATAATTAGGAAAAGAGAAAAGCTATACATGCACTGAAAGTAATTGATGCCTTCCACACAATATTTTCAGTATTAAACAACTCTGTTTGTTCAGTAAAAGTGTAAATACACTGGTAACCTTTAATCATATTTTATATGCAAACATTACATATACAAACACTAAAGTTTTATTTCAGAATAGCCAGTAGTTTTCAAGAAATAAGTCTTTGAAATTGTACGTGTAACTTATATATATACCTACTAGTTTTTTCACCATAACAAACAACACCAATATGGCCTAGTTAGTAGTTTACCTGTGTACCAATTAATAATAATAGTAATCTCAGGACAATTCATACAGCTTCATCTAGACCCAAGTTAAGCTAGCTGAAGATTATGTTATGGGTACTGATATAAATACAAAGATTTTTTTCGTAAATACATATATATTATCTATACATAGAAAACACCCAGACCGTTACAAACAATTTAATAATAAGTTAATAGTTTAATAAGTACGTACGTAATATTATCACATGGTAACAGCACGTATTATGGCAAAAATAAACATCGGCTGATTTGAAAAGATTTATTATAGTAATAATAGTAATCTCAGGACAATTCACACAGCTTCATCTAGACCCAAGTTAAGCTAGCTGAAGATTATGTTATGGGTACTAGACAACTGATATAAATACAAAGTTTTTTTTCGTAAATACATATATATTATCTATACATAGAAAACACCCAGACCGTTACAAACAATCATACTCATGAATACAAATGTTTGCAGCGTGCGAGGAATCGAACCCTCGACCACCAAGCAGGAATCAAAGCAGTGTGCTAGCTAAATCGCTAGACTACCGACAACTAGCTGTACACCCGACTTCGTCCGCGTGGAATTTAACTTCTTATATTTTAGAAAAATAAAGTTAAATTCAACACGGACGAAATCCCGTGTACAGCTAGTCATCAATAAAAAAACACGTAGGTATCTCTAATATATTATACACTAGCTGTTCCCGCGACTTCGTCCACGTGGTTTTTAACTTTATTTTTCTAAAATAAAAGTAGCCTAAGTTACTCCTTATTACATCAGCTACCTGCCAAAAAAAGTCCCGTCAAAATCGGTCCAGCCATTTCAGAGATTAGCCGGAACAAACAGACAGACAGACAAAAATTGTAAAATATTTTATTTTGGTGTATGTACCGTATTTATATTCATATGCATGTAGTAAAAAACGGTTTTTTCTATATTACAAACAGACACTCCAATTTTTATTAAATGTATAGATGTATAGATTATTATTTATTTATTTATTTATTCATCCAAAATAATACAAATTGTGTAGGATAACGTAATAGTAACATTACAGTAAAATTTTGTCAACAACATAATAGCAACTTAAACATTAAATCTCGGTATATCTATAGACTAACTGGCCCCAGCGACTTCGTCCGCGTGAAATTTTATTTTATTTTTCTAAAATAACAGTAGCGTAAGTTACTCCTTATTACATCAGCTACTTGCCAAAAAAAGTCCCGTCAAAATCGGTCCAGCTATTTCAGAGATTAGCCGGAACAAACAGACAGACAGACAGACAAAACTTGTAAAATATGTTATTTTGGTGTATGTACCGTATTTATATTCATATGCAAGTAGTAAAAAACGGTTATTTCAATATTACAAACAGACACTCCAATTTTATTTACATGTATAGATGTATAGATTAAAAAAAAGTAACAGTCATAAGGCTAGTCGTATGCCTAATATATATAATAATGTAATAAATTCATTTAAACAGAAATTGCGGGAACATTATTTAAATTTGTAACTTTTTTACTGTCCTTCTCCTTTTTTCACATCTTTCTGTTATATCCATATAGTTCTCTCTATATTTTCTGATTTTCTTACTTTCAATTTGAGACTGTACTTATAATTTGATTATCGGATCATTATGTATTTACTTATATATAATATTTATACATTTATGGGTTATATTTAGATATATATTTATGTATGTATATTGTTATTTTTTTATAGAAATGTATATTTTGCTTATCTTTATTATCTTTATAAATCTTTTTTTGACATTTCTTATTTATATTAGTGCACCGCCAATAATCTTTCGCTGCACCACTCATGGTTGCCTGGTAAATAACGCGGCAAAATATTAAGTCCGCCACATGTACAAATTTTTTTGTGCATTAAAGTTAAAGAAATAAAAAAATACAATACTGTTTAATGAAAATGCGTGTTGTCTAGTGCTTTGAGATGTATCAAAATAAGGTCAACAAAAAAGTCCGTGATGGTATATGTCTATCTCTTAAGGATAACCAACAATAACCATTTTTTATCTTTTACATTTTACGGGATTTTTTTTTATCGTATGTTTCCCTTAAAATCATGTAAACTATGTTATTATGTCATAATCTAAAGAAATAATAATATTTTATAGTGACATATCCACTATAAAATACCAAAAAGTAGCAATGTAATTCGTTACGCGCGAATCAGGTGTTATAAGGTCAAAGGTCGGTGCACCCCGCGTATTTGATAAATAGTGCTTCTCTGGATGTCTTTAAGAGAAAATGGCAGTATGTACGTGTATATGTACAAGTCCTTAAGTGTTAAGTTTTTCAAATGTACATACAGTAAAGAATAAATATTTTTAAGTACAGTACTTACGTACATTAATATAATACCTACTTTTTACTTGTATCTATTGTTATCAAAATTAAATTATAAGTTCTTAACTTGACCACGACTATGTGACCCTCTCTTGGCGCCAAAACGAGTGAAAAAATGAACAGCATACGACGACGACGCAGTACCTATAGAGTGGAGCAACTGCTTATTCAGTTTTATTCAACTATTTAGTCCCTCCACCGTTACAATGAATGGAGGCGGATATTACAATGTACGTAGCATTGCGAATATAAAATATCTAGATTAGGTATAATAAATTCATAATTCATAGGCCGTTACGGTATCAGAGCCAAAGTCTTCTTTCTTTGTTTATGTACTGTTAGATGCGACAGCGACTTTGTTTTTATATTACTATGTAATGATTGATATACCTAAAATAAATAAAATATCTGAGGTTTGGACAAAAATTCAAAAGGTACTTAATTTTTAAAAAGTATTTTGAAAATACCTATTTTGCATTTAGTATTTGAAATACAAAACACAAAACTATTTTTGTTTTTAGAGTGACATTTCTATGAATTCACTGTCGATAGCGAGCGGTGCGATGGAAAAAGATAACCGTTTATAAAAATATAATAAATAACCCTGGACAATTAACACAGACTGATACTGAACTGATATAAATAGATATTTTTATTTTGTAAATACATATATAATATACATATAAAACACCCAGACCGATGAAAACAATCGATGACCGATGAGTACAAATGTTTGCATCGTGCGAGAAATCGAACCCGCGGCCATCGGATGTAAAGCGGTGTGACCACCGAGGCAGTCGAAATATATAAATAATCTTATGAATTTAATTTATTCTAATTTGTTTATGTGCGCGGGGTGCGGTGTACGGTGCTCCCCCTGCCTCCACCGTTGCTGGAGCTTGCATGTATGGAGCATTGCGAATATAAAATATCTAGATTAGTAAATTCATAATTGATAGACCGTTACGGTATCTATATATATTCGGATTAAAATAAGTATCGCAGTAAGGACCAGTATATAAAGTGATCAACACAATTAACTGATTTTTGAAATATATATACAGAGCCAAAAAGTCTTTGTGTATTCAAAAAATATCTAATTTGTTTGTGTGCGCGGGGTGCGGTGTACGGTGCAGGGGGGACCCTGCCTCCACCGTTGCTGGAGCTTGCATGTATGGAGCATTGCGAATATAAAATATCTACATTAGTAAATTAATAAAGTCATAATTGATAGACCGTTACGGTATCTATATATATTCGGATGAAAGTAAGTATCGCAGTAAGGACGAGTATATAAAGTGATCAACATAATTAATTGATTTTTGGAATATATTCAGAGCCAAAAAGTCTTTGTGTATACCAAAAATTTAGCCGTTCGGAGCCATTCAGTCACGAATTATTAGTAAAAAAAGTGTCGAGTATATCGTACTATCGACGAATATATATGGCCGCATCGCAAAATAGAATGCGACGTTGCCATACCGCCTGAGATATACGCGATAGGAGTCAAGTTATTCAGTGCAAAAGGTGGAATCGGCAAGTGTTTAGGTTGTGGCGTGATCAACAAAGTGCCCAAAGAGGTGTTTATATATATATATATATATATATATATATATATATATATATATAATTGCATATCGCAAACTAGTGACAATCCTAGCTTCGCTTGAGTGGAATTATTATAAGGCAACCCTAACACTGACAGCGATAATGTGTACTGACTGATGTATTTTTAACAGACTATTTTTTTTAAATAGGTAAAGTATTTATTCAGATTATTCATTACAAACAAATATTGAATCTGTTTACTTTATATAATCAGGATATCAGCATGAATCTTGGTGGTCTAGGTTTAGCATACCGCCTTACTTCCGGTGACGCGTGTTCGATTCCTCGCACGGTACAAACATTTGTATTTTTGAGTATGATTGTTTGTACTGGTCTGGGTGCTTTCTATGTATATTATGTATATATTTTGAAAATATGTTTAAGTATTTATATCAGTTGTCTGGTACCCATTACAAAAACCGCTAGTTCTAGATGAGCTGCACGAATGAAGATATTTTTTAATTTATATTATAATCTGTGTAAAATCATAGTAGCAAGTCAAAAATATTTTAAATCTTTACCTACTATGTGTACTCTACAGATACACAATACCTTTGTGGATCAACAATAATAGTGTTGTAAATTTGTTGAAATAAATAAAATAAGTAAATATTTACCGGATTCACTTTGCGCCAAGATGCTGTGAAATATCTGAAACAATTATATAATTATAAGATTACCAGCTGTGCCCACGGTATCACCCGGATTAAATTTAAAGCCTACATGTTATTCTGAGATATGGTATAATCTATATTGCTGTAAAGTTTCATCAAAATCCGTTTAGTAATTTTTGCGTGAAAGAGTAACAAACATCCAACGTAAGTTTATTTATAAAATAATATAGTTTAGGGGGGTCCGGCGGGGGGTTGGTACCATACTGTATGTCTGGCAATGAGCAGCGCAAGTTATAATAGAAAAAACTAAGTAGATACTGCTAATTAGCAGTCCAAATTATAATACTGTTACAAGTAATATGTGAAAGAACTGAGTTTCATAAATTAACGAATTTGATATGAAATTGTATACATCGTTGTTACCCAATACACGCTTTCAATGAGTCTGGTAGGATGATAGAACCAACCAAACTGTCTGGCAATTTAGGAAACACAGTTTAATAGTTCTCTGAATAATATATATAAATTTCAGCTTTATTAAAATAACGTAAGTTTATTCATAAAATTAGGGGGATCCGGCGGGGGGTTGGAACCATACTATATGTCTGGCAATGAGCAGCGCAAGTTATAAAAGAAGAAAGAAAGAAGATACTGCTACGAAGAATATATGAAAAAATTGAGTTTCTCAAAAAAACGAATTTGATATGAAAATTTTTACAAATCACAACTGTCAAAGAACCACGATCCAGGTTTCATGTTTGGGGATCGTTCTTACTTATATTGGCGGCACACATACAAGAACTTTCACATTTACTAATAACACGTATGTCTGGCCGTCGTGGGCTCTTGGGCTATTAATAAGATTAAAAGTTATGACTAATCTCGATGAATATTTTATTCGTAATCCTTATTTTGGGAAGGAATTGACTCCTGTTATACAGCTCTCGCTAGTTTGGTAGTCTGAACTGCATCAAACTGTACACTGGTGAAGGTTTAAATGAATAAATAAAATATACAAATTTCAGACACTTTATTCTTTCTAAAATACATAATTTAAGGAATACTTACTATATATATATATAATAGGTCGGATTAAAAAGATTAACAAATATAATACAATAACTAAAATATATTATTAAAAGGGGTCCCTTTAGGCAAAGTTCCGGAGATACTGGCAGCGTTTCCTCTTTGAATAGCTAGACTAATTCTTTGTCCAAGGTAGCTGCCAGCTCTTCGGATAATAATCGCAATAAACAAAATCTATTTTGTATATTTCAAAATGCAACAAAGTGCAATTCAGCTACTTACGTAGAATCCCATGGACAATACCACTAGAAACCTCATTTTAAACAAAATTTAACGGTCTCTATGATCACCAACACCCATATACAACACACAACTGAACAACCGAACTCTATTGTAGTTTAATTACGTGGAAATTTTTTAACAGTTGTACAAATATTTGTTTGTACCGGACTAAATACAAATCTATGGTTTATCTATAAAGCGGTATGCGCACTCCGGGTCATGTCTCACAGTTTTATATATGTTAGATAGATAATTCATTTGCTGGAACATTGATTTCTTTATTTTCGGTCGTTTAGCGGTTTAGCACGCTCCTTTACTTCTGATTGTCGCAGGTTCTATTCCTCGCACGGTACAAATATTTGTATTCATGAATATGATTGTTTGTATCGGTCTGGCGTTTTCTATGTATATTAAGTATGTATTTACAAAAAAACATATAACTCAGTATTTATATCAGTTGTCTAGTACCCATATCACAGGATCTGCTTACCATGGGACTGTCTTAATTGTCCAGAGTTATTTATTACTTATTTATTAATCATCCTGACGATTTCCGCAGGCGAGTGTGCCATTCCATCTTCGAAGAAATGGGGCTGTAATGGATGGAAAGAACCGCTCGAAAGCATTATGTGAGAGAATCGTTTTTTACTGTTCTAATGCTGTTGGCCGCAGCTGGCCTTTACAGTTTCATCGGACGAGAAGATTGGCGGGCTGTTGGGACTCAAGCACGCGGAAGGACTTATGGAGTAGCTGAAGACGAACTCTTACGTGGCAGGTATGATTTTAGGCTGAGGACACCGATAGAGGTTTAAACCTCGACTCAGACCGTCGAAATTTTGACCCCCCTTTAAATGCGACATAGAGTCGATCGGAGAGATGTGAGGAAATCGTGTGAATAGCGCTTAATAAGTAGCATCCTAGACAAAGAAAATTTCCGTTATTCATATCGCTGGTATACAGTTACTTAGATTCGTTTGTATGTTATTTCAGGCCAAACAAAATTGGTCAATTTTATTATCATAAATATATAAAAACTAGCTATTGCCCGCGTTAATTTATACCCTTAGGGGTGGAGTTGATCAAAATCCTTTCTTAGAAGATGCCTACGTCATAGTAGCTTTATGCATGCAAAGTCTCAGCCCGATCGGTTTATAATTGACAAAGTTTCATACAAACTCTCGTACCCTATTTTATCCCCTTGGTGGAAATAATCAAAATCCTTTCTTAGCGGATGCCTACGTCATAACATCTACCTGCATGCCAAATTACAGCCCAATCCGTCCAGTGGTTCGGGCTGTGCGTTGATAGATTACTATGTCAGTCACCTTTGAGTTATATATGTGTATTTAGATATTATAGACGGAAATATATTTTCACGTATCCTTTATTATAATATAATATCATATTGTAGTATGTTTATTTATTAGTTCTTTAACTGCAGAAAGCTATTGCATCTATAGTTATCGTCTATTTAAATTAAATCGATGCAAAAGGGGTAAAATAAAATGGTATATTTTTCTTATGTCACAAACTAATAATCAAATGAACAGTTCTTTATTTTTTTATTTTTTTAGAATTAATATTATATTTATTACTAGTATTTACATAACCTAATTGTACAACTAAGAACCTAAAATTAAAAAGCTTAAAAAAAATATATAATATGATGACTAAAATATATTATTAAAAGGGGTCCCTTTAGGCAACGTTCCAAAGATACTGGCAGCGTTCCCTCTTTGAATAGCTAGACTAATTCTTTGTCCAAGGTAGCTGCCAGCTCTTCGGTCTTCTGTGATGTATGTATGTATGTATGTATATAATCAAATTATATACATATTTTTTTAAAGTAAAATAAAGTAGTTTTTAAGTGGCCAGTTATAAACCATGAAGTCCACAACAGATATTTAAAATTAATTTGTAACCTTAAGGTAAATTTGTAGAACCTGTAAAATAATAAAAAATTAACAACAGTGATCCAAGCATACTGTTTGAATTACTTTATTCGATATAATTAAATTAATCTTTTTATTATCGTGCACATCTTCAAAAAGCCGTCCTCCCGCTGGAAAGGTAACGAAGGGCTTTGTGGAATATTTACCCACAAAGAAACCACATGGTGTATCCATCACGTCGACTAATATGACTTCATGAATCTGGCAGTTTCCCTCAGTAAAATAACAGAAATTTTATTAAAGTTATTAAAGTTGTTGTATATAAACTGTTTTATATGACAATTAAATTTATAACTATCTTACTTAAGTTTAAACAGCCCCCAAAAGATAATCGAAACGCCTGTAAACATTTAATAGCAATGTTTTCATTACGCTTTTGCTTGCTTAGAGGAAAAGTGATAGCGTATAATTTCATGCAATCAGATTCAAGTAATAATAATAATCGTCATCTTTATATCTCAAATAATGAACTATTTCTGTTTATACTAAAATTAAAACGTATTAATGGAGCCAAAACTGTCTACAACTCAGAGGAGGCAGTGAATGCATCCTCCGAATTATGTATTGCCTTTAACGGTAATTTATTACAATATACTTAAAATCAACGACAACAATAAGTTTTGAACTTAAATGCAAGTTCAAAACTGTTCTCTACTGACAACGTAATTTAATATTAACAATAAAAGTAAAAATTACTCAGGATGATCATACATGAGTTTACTATTACCGTAACATGAAAATAGTGTTTTAGTTGAAACTCAAATTTGAATTTAGAATCATAACGTCATCATACAGACAAAGCCGTAAAAACCTGTCAGTGAGTAATATTTTCCTCAAAGGCACAAGTGTTTTCGCAAACAGCCTTATACTCAGGTCATACATTAAGCATGAGGCCAAGACAAGGAATAGAAAATGCTTAAGATTACGTTCATATTTTCCCTAAAACCTGTTATTATAGTTGTCACACAATTTTGAACTTTAAAACGTAAGTCGGAAAATTAATTCTACAATACAAACAATTGTAGACATAACCTCGACCTGTTTTTAAGTGAAAATTATGAGAAATAACGTCCATGTTCACATATTTATGAAAAGGTGTTTGTCTGAAATGAAATTTATTTTGTTTCATAAAATGAATAGACGTCAATCGTGTGACAACTATTACATGTTTGTACAGCGTTAGTTCTTCATATATAAATATAAAATCTTGAATAAAATAGAAATAATCTTTATCAAAACTGCCACTTTGTCCATTTTGTATATAATTAAGTTTTCTACTCTATTTAAAAGTGCAATAAAGAATATATAAAAAAGAACACTTTTGAATAGTCATATTTTTTAGTTCTACAACTCATTCGGAACGCTGACTCGTCACAAGAAGAATGAGGAAGAAACTTGCGTGGTGCTCTAATTAAATACACATTAACAGAGAAGAATGAGAAGGCATCTGACAATCGACATAAAAACCGCTACGCAATTCGATTTTTTTTCGGACTACTCTAATGCTTTTGGACGCAGCTGGCCTTTACAGCTTCGCCGTACGATATTGAGCGTCTGCACATGGCACTCCAAACCAAAAGAAGGACTTATACAGCTGATGAATCCCAATCGGATACAAGTTTAGTCTGAAGACATCGCTATGGGTTCGAACCACGGCTCAGGGTGTTGTAATTTCGATGATCGTTAGAATTGGACGGGCTCAATCGGATGTATCAGGTGTTTCATTGTAGGTAAAAGATGTTTTTTTACATTTTATATAAAATTATTATTTATTTATTAAATTATTAGAGCCGTGGTTCGAACCCCAAGCGGTGTCTTCAGACTAAACTTGTATCCGTCAGGCGGGAGTTGGCATTCAGCAGCTGTATAAGTCCTTTTGGTTTGGAGTGCCATGTGCAGTCGCTCAATATCGTACGGCGCGGCGCCACATACCTATGTGGCGAATTAATTATTATCGCGCGGCAACACCGTTGCCTAGTTACGACAGAAGAATGAAATGACAGGCCTGTCATTCGAGACCGAATCACCTTCTTGTATATATAACTTTTGTAAATACTTCGTTAATATCAATATGTAAATAATCACGACTGGTTTCTCTTCACCTCCATCTTCCGGGTGCTGCTTCTACATGATCACAAGATACAATAAACATAAATAATAGCGGCCCCATCATCATCATCAGCCCACTGCAGTCCACTGCTGGACATAGGCCTCTCCAAAGGCACGCCACTGGGCACGGTCTTCAGCCTTCTCATCCAGTTACTACCCGCAACCCTACGTATGTCATCGCTCCACCTAGATGCGGGGCGTCCTACACTACGTTTGCCAATTCGCGATCTCCACTCTAGAACACGTCTACTCCAGCGAGCATCGGTTCTGCGACAGATATGACCAGCCCACTGCCACTTCAACTTGCAAATACAAAGAGCTATGTCGGTGACCTTAGTTCTCTGGCGAATTACTTCGTTTCGGATTTGATCCCTCAGAGATACTTCAAGCATAGCTCTCTCCGTAGCTCGTTCAGCGACTTTGAGATTTTTTTTATTATAATGGAATGGTGCACCCGCCAGCGCTAACGGTTTACGCTGGCGGGGACCAGTGGAGGATGATAAGATGAGCATGAGGTCAGGTCAGTTAGCACATCGTGACAAATTCATCAGTAATTTATCACGATGGTTTCCAGGAGGAACCGCGTGGCGGTCAACCTGACATGGTACATTGCTAGCAATCAGATCACACATATGTAGCTACGATTTGTTTATTTACATATGGGAGCCACATCAGTATACATTTTTTTTCTCAAACTCAAAGTCGCTAGGGGGGAAAGGGGATTGTTACCCTTTCCCCCCTAGCGACTTTGGGTTGGTCGACCAGTCGTATCGTCAGTGTCCAGCGGCCCCATCGTAGCCGCTAAATATAGGTACTTAGTGCCGGATTAAGCCAGCGCGGGATAGTTAACAAATTCTTCCAAGAAACTATTGAGCAATCCTAATATGTTGATATGATAAGGATATTACGTATTTTCTAATAATAAATTTACATACAATGCAAATGTTATCAGAGTATAATATACATTGATGACTACGTGACTAACAATCTTTATCATAATTATTATCTGATAATTATATCCTTCCGTATGACATTGTTGAAGCGAAACGTCTTGACGGGTTATTATCCAGGGATGGTAGGGAGCTCCGTAACGGTAACCGAAACTGTCGGATATCCGATATAAAAAAATACTCATAACCGTAACCGAATCCGAAATAAAAGTTTCGGATATACTATTGAGGCACGTTATGTAACCATATTATTAGCTATTTGTATTTTCCTTTTGAAATTCCTTAAAAAATAATATCCGTAACCGATATTATCCGAAACTAGCGTATAATCCGAAATAATTTCATATCCGCATCCGTATCCGTATCCGGTATAATAATATCCGAAATTTCATATCCATAACATCCATCCCTGGTGGATGTTATGGATATGAAATTTCGGATACGATCTTATTTTTTAGTCATGAAAAAGCGTTATCTTCGTGTGAAGGGCTGGCGGCAGAGGAGAGAGGACATAGCCTATCAGCCTAAGAGCGGAGAGTCCGGTATCTATATATAAATTGGAATAATATATTGGAATTACCCTTAAATAAATTCAAAACATCTATTAAATCATATTTACTGAGCAAAAGCCTATTACTCACTAAACGAGTACTTGAATGACGAGCGTGCATGGCAATAGTTGTTTATGCACAGGATTTTCAATTAATATTAGACATAGATACCTATATAAATATACATTGTAAATAAACTGGCTTTTAAAAAAAAGTTTTTTACCAGTCCTGGCTTTTAAAAAAAATTTAGTTTCTTAACAGTTCTTCTCAATTGGATCTATATACCAAACTGGCCGGTAGGGAAAAAATTAAAATTACAATTTAAAAAATTTGATGTTCATAAGCGACTAAAATGTCCTACATGAATAAATGATTTTTGAATTTGAATTTGAGACCTCGTTAATGTTAGAATATTGATTCTGGCTATTTTTTTTTCTTATTGTTTGATAATGGAATGGTGCACCGCTTGAGCTCAATGTGGTTAATTCACCATGAATTTATCATATTTACTGAACTGAGTTTCAAGCGGTTCTTTTCAATTTAATCTATAGACTAAACCGAATTTTAGGGGAGAAATATTGTTATAAAAACTTCGTTAAACGGCTAAAATAAAAGATATTTGATGTGATTAATTGATCAACGAAAGACAATGAAGCCACAGAGCGTCCGGCGTCTACTAGATGGCGCTGTTTATAAAAATCATACTTAGGAAATACTTTCTTTGCCTAAAATTACGTTTTTATATAGAACTCACCTAATATTCCTGTAAGGAAAAACATTACGTTTAAAAAACACCATTATTCAAATAATACTATGATAATAATATGTTACCTACATAATGTAATGAATACAGTATGACGTATTCAAAGATTGAGATGACGCATGAAGCATTAAATACAGTTAGTGTTGCCAGTAATTCATATTTCATACTATTTAGTAGTAAATGAAAAATCTGATCATTGATATTTATATGTATTTTGTACCATAATATTATTTCTTATCTAACTAAATACATAGAAGTAATAGCTTATCTGATTATATACCTAATAAAAACACATTGAGTACTTTTTTAATTGCAAAATAATGTAATGTGTATTATTTTGTGTTTGTTAATATATAATCCTACATAATATTGTCATATAGCTAGCAATGAATTCAAAACAACTTACAGACATACAAAATACTTTTAGGTGTAAATATATAATTAAAAACACTAATTTCTATTATTAGTAAATACCCCCTAGCAATGAAAATTAACGTCCAAATTGCTATCAATGGATTGGCGATAAAATTGATGCTTAACTCCGTCTGTCCGCCTACAAAACTAATAGGTTTTTTCGATATATTAAAATGGCGTCTTATCTCCACTTCTCTTCGCTTTATTTATTAATTCTATTACGTCATTCTTACCACCTTTATGGTTTGACTTCATTATTTGATACATGCTGATCTATATTCATATTTTGTCTTGTAATGTTACAACTCATTATCTATATATTATATTCCTGCAGTGATTGTAAACTTTTTAAACGTTACTACTTAAAGAAAGATTCTAAAATGCAGCAGTGCTACAAACCTCAGTTTAAAAACTATCCATACATCATATGATAATCCATCCGACCAGTTTGACAATTACGGTTTATATAAAAAATTGTTGGTGCGCTGAAACACATTGTCATAATTAATCAATAATTTACCAAATACAAAATAAACACTCCTGTGTGTTTTGTAATATATAATATTTGTGTGTTTATGTATATAAATTGTATTATATATATATATATATATATATATATATATATATATATATATATATATATATGCAAGAATAAAATTATATCTTTTATATTTCAAAAATGTTGGTTGTCTGGAAGAATAAGACCGCCTTTTGTACGATTTTCGTTTTTTCTTTATTTAATTGTTTGTCTTTCTGGTGCAATAAAGTTTAATAAATAAATAATAAATAAATAAATAAATAAAATCAGCAAGAAAAAATATATCTTTCAAAAATGTTGGTAGCATAAGAAACGATTTTCGTTTTTATACAAGACATGGACGGCCTATCCACAAATTACGTCATACGAATTTCATTATTTTTGACACCTCATCTCATTATTTGATTCACAGATACAATTTGTGATATTTCCCCTAACCCTTGCAAATTTTATTATAAACATGTTCAAGTTTTTCATGAATCATTCAAATTCTGTTTTTAAATACATATATATATTAGATTTTTAATTGTCACGTCAAGATATTTAAGATCTGTCAATCCTTGTCATACTTTATTACATACTCAACGATTTCATATTTGACATAAATGTCACTTTATTTATTTATTTATTTATTTAATTGACTCTTAATTAAAATATCGGTTCATTAAACTTATTATATTAATTAATTAATGTATTATTTTATTTTATTTTTATCTTATATTTAAATTATTGAATTCAATAAAACATATAAGTACGTTTTACTATTTTTACAATTATTGCAAACCCCATTAGAAACAATTATATTGTAGTAGTGGTAATAGTAGTTTTTGTTGCATATCGATACTGGCAACATTCTACGGCTGGCAGCCATCTACTCGACTCGTGCGCAGTTTATTCGCAAATTAACACACGCGTATCGCGAAATATTTGTTTATCAAAGAGTTGAAGTTCCAAGAATCCAAAAACTGTGTATGCTCATTAAATAATAGTACCGTTTTGTTTTGTGCATAATTTGTTCAACAGTGAATAATACTTGGATATAGTGCTAAAGTGATACGAAACTTAAAACTGTGAAGTAACATTGGATTTTTTACTCATTCATTCTATCTACTATGTATGTCCGAGTACTGAGGTGAGTGGCCTAATTTTACCTTCGCAGTTTTTTATATTTGCGCTAAGTAGCAAAAAATCAATTTCAACGAGTCTTTTTGGCTGAATGTCTATTATACCAAAGCTAGCAATAACAGTAAAACGTCATAAAAAAGTTTACTCCCAGCACAGACGGATTCTTTTATTTTTTTTTACAATTAGCAGTCTTCGTCTTTCACTATTGCGACACCGTGTTAACAAAAATGAATTCTTTGTTGAAGTTATAGAGTTCATAATACATCATCTTAATGTTTACTGGCATTTGGCGCCTTACAAAAATTATAGGCCTGCTATGGACTGTCTTCATATTTTTTTGGTATTTTCTTATCTTTAGAAACAAATAGTTTGTTTAAATATAATTATAAGTAAATAGTCAATTATTTTTAAGTTTATTAAAAATAATATAAATTATAATTTTGATTGCACTTTATATTAAAATATTTTGGTAATCTATGGAAATATGATTATTTGCTTGTGTTCAGATAAAAATTAAGAGTATGGTAAAATGTTGATTTGAATAGACTTATAATAATAATAAAGCCTTTTATCCTAAGATTGGGGTACATTATATGGTTTACAAAATGTCCCACAACAAGAGAACTGGAGTAGACCTATGCTAAAAGGCACAACTTTTAGCATAGGTCTACTCCAGTTCTCTTCATTGATCTCTGTCTGCCTCAACCTTTTCCAGAATGATCTAATATGAATAGGCTCACATTTAATACTACCAATGTGTGGGATTTCTCTTGAATCGAACTATATATGTACATGTTCTTATTTCCTATATAGCATTATATAATATAAGCTATAGATGACTGAGAAATTAGTAGAGAGACAATATCTTATACATCATTATTTTTTGTATGGATTATTGTATGTAGATGTAATGCATAGGATTGAAGATTATATTTTATTGAAGATGTTACATATGAATGTTATAAGGCAGAGGAAGGCCGGAAAAGAGATGGATCAACTGTGTGAAAGGTGTAAAATTAAAAATTCAGAATATCTTTATTCATGGAGGTCTATTACAGACTTATGATGTGTCAAATCTACTGTCAGTTCGGAATGATTTCGAGATGAGAAGAACTGACAAGGAACTTAGGTTGTAATCTTTTCAAATAAATGTTGTATGTGTTTACAACAATACAGATTCCTTTATAAATTCAAATTTAGAAAGATAGAGTAACCACCAACATATGTTATTACAAAATTAAATAGTCAAATCAGTGTTTGTAACTTGAACAGACCAGTCCCCACATGCAGCACCCGGTCATGAGTATGACGGAGTATAAAAAAAATGGATGATAATGTGCAGGGTGATAAGATGAGGTCAGGTCTCGACAGATCATTAGAGCTGCACAATAATTAGGAATTAAATATGGTATAGGTTAGAATACTAAAAGAGAACTCAATCTAAGAGTTATCTATACTCTATACATATAAATAAAATTGGAGTGTCTATAATAATGAAATAACCAATTACTACATGCATATGAATATAAATATGGTATAGACACCAAAATAACATTTTTTTCATTTTTTGTCGGCCTGTCTGTTTGTTCCGGCTAATCTCTGAAATGGCTGGACCGATTTTGACGGGACTTTTTTTGGCAGGTAGCTGATGTAATAACACGGACAAAGTCGCGGTTGCAGCTAGTATATTATAATAGGCAGTCAGAGAATCAGTGTTAAAAACATAAATATATACTGGTTATTATAATGCCAGTAAATAAAATGGGCCGACCCACATTTTATATTCGTGTGATAATGACGTCCATAAGTCGTTTCGGTTGAAATTAAATATGGCTGTATGATTTTTATACCTACACCTAATATAAAGCAATAACAATGCATTTTATGATACAAAATATTAGGTATGTACAGAAATAATCAACGCGTCGTCACTTACATCAAAATTATTTTTCTGTGAAACTGTGTATCATTATTTATTGTTTGTGATGTCTGGGTGTTTTCTATGTGCTTATATTTAATTATATTTTTTTATGGATGATAATGGAATGGTGCAACCCACCCGCGCTAACGGTTTACGTTGACGGGGCACCAGCGGAGGATAATTTTGAGGTTAGGTCAGTTAGCCCATCGTGGAAATTCACTAGGAATTTATCGCGATGGTTTCCTGAGGGAACTGTGTGGAGTCCACATTATGGACTAATAACATTGCTAGCAATGTACTATGAAAAAATACCGAAATGTAAACAAAATTGCGAACACTTCAAGACAACAGATGGTTGGATGCAATTAAAGTGTCGTTCTTATGAGGACAGTGCAGACTCTTAAAGATTAGTGTATATTTACCTATTTAATTTAATCTTTATCTAAAGAAATGAAAACTTACTCATTCAGTGGAATACATATCGCATTTTTAGAATTATTATTTATTATATTATCTATCAAAAATAGTTGAATGGATAACGTTTTTTACAATCGAGTAGGTATTAATTAAACATAGAATTTGGTATATATTTTATCATATCAGTAGAGCGAATAAATAGTTATAGATGGACCCTGTGTTGTATGAAATCGCTTAGAATATAGGGGTCTTTGTCAACTGGACGTCAAAGCCAGGTTGACCAACATACAACCAAAATTTTGAATGTAGAAATAACAATTTTTGCGAAAAGAAATTTCCTCCCTATATGTATCATAGTCACATATATTATTTTTATTTGTTTCCCGCTAACCGTGGAATTTGTATACTTTAAGAAGTGTCGAAAAGAAATTCCCTACCTATATTTTTTCTCTCTCTACTATATTTTTGTATGATTCTCAAAAAGGAATTTCCTCCCTAAACGTACCACAGATACATATAAAATTTTAAGTAGATTCCCGCCCCAATATCACGTGGAATAGATAAGTCAGTATCTCTACTAATTAAACTAAGTGCACAGGAACTATTTGTAAACAGCTTTATCATTTATTTTGGGGACCTACCTAACTCGTGTGGTATGATATCACTGAAATAAATAAGAGTTCAAGGTTCATGGGAGGTAATTATTGCCAAGTTGCGAGCTATGATTGTGTACATACATTTTTTATCTTGTAATTTAGATCAATAAATTATTATAATTAATGACGATAGTCATAGACTATAAATTATTATAGTCTATGACTATCGAATAAAATAAATTAAGAAAAAAAAGTAAATAATAATAACCCAGGCCTAGGCACAGCGCCATCTAGTCCCAAGCTAAGCGGAGCATATGTTATGGGTACTAGACAACTGATATATACGTAGATACATTTTTTGTAAATACCAACATAGTAGAAAACACTCAGACCGATATAAACAATCATACAATTGTTTGCACAGTGCAAGAAATCGATCCTCAGAAGTGGCGTACTAATCAGCTAGACTACCGAGGCCGTCAATGCAATAAAAAGTAAAAATGAACATATATGAGAGACTAGCTGTGCCCGCGGTTTCACCCACATTAAATTTATAGCGTACTAGCTGTCCGTCCCGGCTTCGCACGGATGCATTAGACATGTTTTAATTTCGCGACTTGTTCTATATTTTTACGCACAAATCAAATCAAAAATAATTTAGCCATATACTTAGATCACTTTAGCCGCTTATGAACGTCAATTTTTTTCTAATAATATTTGTTCCTTACCGTCCAGTTCAGTATACAGATTCAATTAAAAAGAACGGACATAAAACTCAACTAAAACGTGATTTTTTCTAATTGCATTTCCTAATTTAGAACTCAAAATAATAATAATAAATTTTATTATATTATAGTCACTCTATTCTCCCAAATTTGAATTTATAATTAATCTATATAAACATTTATTTGAAATAATACGATACTGAGTTTCTTGTCAGTTCTTCTGACTTTATCATTCCGAACTGACGGTAGATTTGACATATAAGAGTCTGTAATAGACCTACATGAATAAAGATATTATGAATTTGAATTTGAAAAAATATAACTTATTATAAACATAATAGTTATTAAAGCTGAAACCCGCGGGCTCGGCTAGTGATTCATTTATTAATCATAATATAGAGCCGTATATATTATACCTAATTAATATTATTGTTAATAAACAGGTGTATTCTTATCGGTCCAGTACAGACTTATGCACGTCAGTACATGTATACCTACATACCTATGTAGATAGGGAATGCAGAATATTCCACTTTAATATCTATACTAATAATGTAATAATAATATTTTACACTAGCTGTACCAGTGACTTCGTCCGTGTGGAATTAGAATAATTATAATAAAAGTAGCCTACGTTACTCCTTATTACATCAGCTACCTGCCAAAAAAAAGTCCCGTCAAAACAACCCAGCCATTTCAGAGATTAGCCGGAACAAACAGACAGACAGACAAAAATTGTAAAAAATGTTATTTTGTTTTATGTCCCGTATTTATATTCATAACTAGCTGTTCCCGCGACTTCGTCCGCGTAGAATTTAACAGCCAATTTCAGAGATTAGCCGGAAGAAACAGACAGACAGACAAAAATTGTAAAAAATGTTATTTTGGTGTATGTACCGTATTTTTATTCATATGTAAAAAACGGTTATTTCAATATTACAAACAGACACTCCAATTTTATTTATATGTTTAGATGTATACATAGATTACGGCCTAGCATTTTAGCACACCGCTTTACTTGCGGTGGTCGCAGGTTCGATACCTCTCGCGATACAAACATTTGTATTCATGAGTATGATTGTTTGTATCGGTCTGAGTGTGTTCTATGTATACCTATATTTAAAAAAATATATATTTAGGTTTTTCTGTCACTTGTCTCGTACACGTAACACAAGCTCTGCTTTCCCCTGGAAACCATCGTGTTAAATTCATGGTGAATTTATCACGATGTGCTAACTGACCTGACCTCATGCTCATCTTATCATATACCACAGATGCCCCGCCAGCGATCTTATTGCTAGCAATGTACCAAGTCAGGTTGACATCCAGCCGGTTTCCCCTGGAAACC